CTGGCAAGTCCAATGACATCTGCATCGACGTATATGTCGGTGATGTGTCTGTCCTTTGTCCCATTCATATATATATATATATATTATACATATATGATCATACATATATATCATATCCCCATGGACAACTCTACTTTTAGAGGGGGAGGGTGGTAATACATTAAAATTATTAAGTAGGGCTAAGTATGGTTAAATGATAGGGTTTCGCGCTTCATCCCAGAGCAGCAAAAGGGGGCAAACATGGGTTTCAATCCAGCGTGTCCTTATTCCATACCTATGCCAAAAGAGTCGGGCCCCGAACTTCAGGCCCCGAACAGGGTTCCCCCCAGGCAACTTTGTAGCAAAGGCATGTAGAAGCACATGTATGTGAACTCTGATGATGTAATCAAATGTTTTTTGGCATACCTGTGCCACAAGAGTCAGGCCCCAGGCAACTTGCAGCAAAGACATGTGAAAGACTACGTATGTGAGCTTTGATGTGCTGACTCTCATTTCAGATGCCTTTGAGCATATCACTCAGGCATGAAGATGCCCGAGCAAACAAACGTTATCGTTTGAGCGAAGATCAATTCAAGAAGATTGCTTTGTATGATGGCCTGGTCCAGGATGATAATATATATATATGTCCAATCTTTCGGCGGGTGCGACAATGTCCTGCTATGGTGTCTCCCACAAGGACCATCCTTGAATGCTAGATGACATAAAATGACTGCCTTTAGTTATGGACTAGCTTTGCCTTGGCTAAATCCTGAGGATTTAAACGAGGCAGAGGGAAATATGGCGAGGCAACCTGTGTTGACTTGCTGAAAAGAGGCCTGCCTTGCTTAAATCCTCAGGATTTAAACGAGGCAAACTTTTCCCCCCGCGAATTCCAGACTTTGAGGCGAAAAGTTTGCCCCGTTTAAATCCTGAGGATTTAAACAAGGCAGGCCTCTTTTCAGCAAGTCAACACAGGTTGCCTCGCCATATTTCCCTCTGCCTCGTTTAAATCCTCAGGATTTAGCCAAGGCAAAGCTAGTCCATAACTAAAGGCAGTCATTTTGTGTCATCTAGCATTCAAGGATGGTCCTTGTGGGAGACACCATAGAAGGACTAACAGCATTCAAGGATAGTCTCTGTGGGATTTGCCCAGATAGAAGGACATTGGCAATTGATTTAGGATTCTATCATCACCCCTGTCGGAGAAAGCCATTGTCAATTGATTCAATTCAAGGATGATCCTGGTAGGAGAAAACCATTGTCATTCGTACAGGTACTGACGTCCCGGGCGCCTTGTAGCTCACCTTTCAGAAGGGACACCAAAGGGGGCTGTGCCTTGCACGCCCTTCACTACTTTCTGATATGGCAATCAGGATCCGGGCCAAGTACCAAACCCGAGGGAAGGCGGAAGCAATGTGGCTAGGGTTGAAAGAAGCTGCATCATCATGCATCTCTGAATTCGGATCACTTCCCCGCTTTCTTGACGACTTGGATCTTCTTTCTTCTCTGACTCTCTCTTCTCTGACACTATCTCTTTTGACTGCAGGATGAGACTTTGAATGGTGAAGAGCTGATTCCCATTTCCGTCTGGGAGATTGACAGTAGATTCTTGCTGCTTCCAGAGCACAGAGCCCGAGACGGAGCGGAAGGCTCGAGGGAAGAGAAGCAGTGGTACCCGGCAACCCGGCAACCCGGCGACCCGGCGACCCGGCGACCCGGCAACCCGGCGACCCGGCAACCCGGCAACCCGGCAACCTAGAATAGAAAACGAGGAGAAAGAATAGTAGAGTAGAGGAGGGAGAGAGAGAGAGATAGAGAGCAGAGCAGAGCAGAGCAGAGCAGAGCAGAGCAGAGCAGAGCATAGAGCAGAGAGAGAAACATAGAGAAACATAGAGAAACATAGAGAAACATAGAGAAACATAGAGAAACAAAAGAGGCTGAGAGGAAAATAATGGAATGAAATGGAAAGAGAAAAGGGGTTAAAAAGACATAAAACGACTACAGGGAACAAAAAGAGAAAACAGGAAACAAAAGATAATGAAAGAAGAGGAACAGATAGAGAATGAAAGAGTAAAGTAAAGCGGAGGAACCTGGCAACAGAGGAAAAGATCAAAAAGACCACAGGGAACAAAAAGAGAAAACAGGAAACAAAAGATAATGAAAGAAGAGGAAAAGATAGAGAATGAAAGAGTAAAGCGGAGGAACCCGTCAACAGAGGAAAAGGTCATGTTAAATATACCATACCCGAAACCTTACATTTCCTCAGGTTTCCCAAATTGATGTATTATCAAATGGGGGTACACCCCCCCTCCAATACAAAAGTTAAGTCATGGGGATTATATCATATCATATCATATTATATTAGATTATGTAATGTTTTATATTATATATAGATATATTATATTTATATATTATAACACAATTACAGTATACTATGCTCGGTGTGTTCTGACAATGTTTGCCCCTGTTGGCACCTCAAAGTTCTGAAGTCGCAGCGAACGCGGCTGTTCTGGCATGCTCTGTGGATGCATCTCCAGGACACATCGAAGCCTGAGAGTTTAACATGCATCGAAGCCAATGGTTTGACTGGTGGCTTAGAATCCCCACCCCCCATGGAAAGACATGGAAAGGATCATATGATATAACTATAATATGAAAGGATTATCACTGAGCAGATGGAGCTTGTTGGGCATCTGACAAGCCAACCCTGGAGTCGACATTCATTTCGGTGTCCTGCGCCAATGGTTGCACTCAGGATGAACGCATGGTCAAGTCATCATCCTGTTCGCACATGTTAGCACCCATTAGCCATCCAGCTTCAGTAGAAACCTGTTCAGTGGCTGCGTGTAGATTTCAATGGATTGTTTGAAGGGAACATATACACGCTGCCATGGTTGTTTTCGCATCAACTATACGGGTTTACTGTACGTACGTTTACATTGTTCCCTTCAACATCATTCAACCAATGCAAAAAAAAAATGCATGTTCCGCGCGTCCAACGTATTCCAATGTATTGTAAATATTCCAATGTATCCTTCATGCAGATGACTTTGCTTTCCAGAGGAAGTCTTGCCCCAGGTGAGCGCGAAGGCCTGGTAGCGTTGGCGTCTGAGAGCCCAAATGGGATCGGGGGATGAAGTCACCGGGTGGATCACGGATAGACTCACTGGATTGGTTTAAGGGAAAATCTCCATTAATATCACATCTGGAATGGTAAAAACCCATGGCTTTCCTGTGGATTTCCCCTTAAACCCAATCCTGGTTGGTGGTTTTAACCATCTTGAAAAATATGAAAGTCAATGGGAAGGATGACATCCCATATAGAAAATAAAAAATGTTCCACACCACCAACCAGTTATGAATTATTCATGTGAAAATTATGAAATTCATTGCGGCAAAAAATCGGCAGTTCCGACTTTAGTTACTTTAGTTCACGGTAGTATACAACCCCCTCGTAGCCAGTTGGTCACATGGATCACATGGTCTGTCACTAGCAGTCGCAGCAGTGTGCAGCCTTACTTCCAAACCACGTCCATCGGCCACTTCGCTCAGCTTCTGCGGCCGTGGCACTAAGGCTATGCTCAGAAACCCTGCTGAACATCAAAATAGCTCCTACATTGATGTGCATCCCCAAAAAATACAGCAACATAGAACCTATCGCCAAATCTACATAAAATATCTAAAATAATTCAAGATGAGGGGGTGGATCGGCAGACCAAACATAAAAGCATGATACAGGTCGTCAGACTGCCAACTTTTCTGTTGCCTCATCACTCATCACTCAACTTTCCGCCTGCGGCGCTTTCCAGGGCAAGTTTGGCCCGGCCAATTCAGTGCTGCAGATGGGCTGAAAGCCTGGGCTCGTGGAGGAAATCCGGGATCACATCAGAATCAAATAGTCAAAGACACTCAAAGACAAATGCTCAAAAATAGTACAAGATATCTCAGTTTAAACTGATGAAACAACTACCAGTAGCTACTAATCTGACTAGACTTAGTTAGTCGCCATCTCTCAATCACAAAACTCACGCATCGATGGTTGGTCTCTTGATGTGCCAAGGGGCGACCCACAGACTTCGGAGACAAGTGATCCCTGTCAGCTTGGGTTGAGAGTGGATGGCATACGTATGCGAAACTATGAAACATTATTAAACTGTTCGAATGTGTGGGACTGGTTGCCCACAGTTTTCAGCAGTTCCAGGTCTGCACAGAATCAGAAGGCAATTGTTTTGTTTCATTCATAGTGGCTAGATCAAATTATGCAATACCAGGTTTTCCCGAGCGTGGGGAATCTGTCATTCTCACATAATTAGTTACCGTATCAGGTACTCATAGGTACTCCATCCTCTTGGTACGCAGCTTCAGGTGAAAGGAAAATCAGTTAACAAAAAAAAACATCTTCTGAACAGCAAAGCGCAAGCAGACTGGCCGGCCTCAAGAACTGCTCGTTGGTGCCGCAGCGAAACCTCAAGTGGCTATGCTAGGCAGCAACTTAGCCATTTCCGAACATGCATAAGATTGAATAATTGAATCCTTTCTTGCTTAGCATTCATTGAAAGCATCGGAGATAGCCATCAGCCGCCCGCAGCCGAGCAACTCTTTCCACTTCATGGCGAGGCACCGATCCTGGCCCAAAATGAAGCGTCTGAAGCGTCAAGGTTAATGACCTGCTTGTTATGAACTTGTTATGCTTGTTCACCTATTCGTTGCCTGTGTGAACTCATTGACAAAATGAGATCCAGGAATGTATGGTTCACAGTTCTCAGTCTTCATTGAGTTCTAGCTCTGCCTTTTTGAAATCCGGAAACTTCTACATAGAAAGTTGGCTCATCATTAAACAATGAACTACACTAAAAGTCCCCTAAAAGATGCTAAAAGCATCTCAAAAGCCACAGAATAATCAGATGTAACTCATGTACAACCAGAGAATCCAAGACATGACAAGACCATTGTCATTTCAAGCCATGACCTCAACTGGCAGGGCGCCTCCAGGTCAAACTTGCATTCCCCAATGAGGCTGTCGCTGAAACCCATGGCTCCCTTTGCAAAGACCTGGACAGGAACTGCATCCGCCAGCTACAAGACCTGAAGGATCACACCGGATCTCTGACCATCTCATGGAATGACAGTCCGTATTTTTAGAGCATATGCAGCATATGGATATATGATGATGATATATGGATATGTCTACCAAAAAAAAACATTTAAACCATCAAATTTGTTGGAGTACATCGAGGTGTTGTATCCTGTCACACAAGCCTATATGCTGAATCGACTGATATACTACATTATACTACCCTATTGAAGGTGGTCAGCCATACCTGGTCTTTCAGCTACCGGCATCCCACTGCATCCGTTTCCACAGCCTGCACGTTCAACTCATGTGAGCCAGGCACGTGGGTCTCGAAGGTCACGCAATGGTAAACACTGATGATCTTATTCCTGGCTGATGGTAATGTCCAAGGGTTGAGGAGAGATGAGGCTTGACTCTCAGAGGAATGAAGAAGTGAAAAAGGATGAAAAAGGGAAGCTTGGAATAGTTCTAGGGGAGATTGACTTCTGAACTCAATAATCTTGGAACAGTCCCTGGTGTTTACATGTGTTTACTGTTCAACAGTCAGTGGTATCTTGGATTCTCCAGGCTGTCCATTTCCGTCGGTGCATGGGACAATAATGGACATCTACAACAGGCCAGGTGCCACTGTGGCATGCTGGATCCAACCACCTGGGTCGAAATGGGATCCAGAGTTGACTCCCTCAGCTACCTGCGAAAAACTCGTGTCATCCCGTGTCATAAGGACTTATCATAAACAGACTGCTTGATGTGTACAAACTGGTTCTGGGTTTCTTCATGTTTCTTCAGGAATCAGATGGTGGAAACAGCCCTGAGAACTGAAATAACAATCCAGATATAGCCAGATCAAAGATGATCAAAGCTCAGGAGTCTTTTCCTGGCGTTCTGTTTCCGTGCGAAAATAGCTGCTGTGACCGTGGAATCGCACTGGTGTTCGCTGCTCATCGGAGCCCAGCTGAATCTTGAAGTAGATCTCTGAACAATCTGGCCAAGGGGGCACAATTCAAGAGCCCCTCCCAGGAATCTGCGCCAAAACAGTAAGATTAGTCCCAGAAACCTATAGAATCTATAAGGCTGCAAAAAAAACAATGAAAACCGCTGCTTGCGAGCGATCAAGTATTCAACTTGTTCAACCATAGTTGCAAAATCATTCGGTTTAACAACCAATGAAAATAGTGGATCCATGAAACCAGGCTGTGTCTGGTCGTTGCAAGGGCCTCAAACAACCACAGCAGGTCGCAGCCTACGTTGTGATCCAGCTTGGTGAAGGTACACAGCGTCAGGGCAACAAAGAAAGTGCTGGCGGTCCACAGATTCTCTACCTGGGATGGAGGGGATGATCTCAGGAAAATGCACGGAAGTGCACAAGAGGAAACACAAACAGCAGCTGGCTGCTGTTCATTGTCAGCATTTATTTTTTGCACGCATCTTTGATGGTGTCTTTCCAGGCTGGATGCGCAACGCCACAACCCACTCCCCATTTCCTGAGATGAGAACTGCGAAATCGTTGCACTCCTGAGTTCCAAGACCAAAGGCAAGACAATAGTATGAGGGCGGACCAAACCTCTATCTCACTATATTTCATAACTTGCGTTCCAAACCTGAATCATCCTGAACCATCTCCAAACAAAAAGGTCGTTCGCAGGTCTGCAGTCCTTAATTTCCTACTTACGCTGGCAAAGGGTATTGCCTATTTTCGTCGCGCTAAAGGGCTGGGATAATGGCCTGTAGTGGAGTTGCACACAACTTCAATCTCAATCACTGTGGTCTGTATGCATTCCACATACTTACTCTTCAAGATATAAGCCATTTTCCATTGTTTTCACATGTGTTCACATTGTTTCACGGTTTCGGCTTTGACCCTGGGACTCTCGTCACCGGAAGCTGCTCCGGGCAAGGTACAAGTTGTCCTTGATCATCCTGCCAAACATATGAGAGTGAGTCGGCCTCAAGATCCTCAAGCCACAATTCACTTCGAAATGCTAAAATTAGGTGATACAGTATACAGAGGGTTTTTGTGGATTTATTTGATATGGCTCTTTGAAACCCACTGACCCTAACCAATCACATAGAACCTGACACACCTCCCACCGTTTGCAAAATACGGTTGTGATGTACCACCAACCACCACACCATCAGTCTCTCGCAGCTTTGCAAGGATATTACATAATTCAATCGGGCTCACCTTTTTCCATCTTTCCCCTTCCATGCTCCAACCAGCGCTGTGGCCTTTCCATCAGGAACCTTTTGGACATTCACGTGGCCCTTCAAGATCGTCTCGCCCCTCAGAACCCGCAACCATGGGCTTATGGCACCCGCAAGCACTTTGAACCAGCTCACAGCATTCACAGCTTTGATCCAAACTAGAGATTGGTCATTCTATGTTTCCTGAGCGAAACCATTTCTATGCGGCCATCATCCCCGCAACCGCCCTCGATGGGCAAACATGGTCTGCCGCCAAGCTGCGACTCGTGTGGCAAAGCCAAGGTCCGTTGCAGGTTCATGAACTTTGAGAAGAAGAACTCCTGCTGTTGACCCTAGTGGCTAGTAGCGCATCCTCAATTTTGGAGGAAAGTTCTCGCAGATCATCAGAAGTTTGAGGTAGAGAGAGAGTCGGTTCGTTCTTCTTCACAAACATTGAGCAATGCCAAACGATATGATTGAAATCTCCAAACTCATAGGGTAAAAGTAAAGTAAAACTTGCCTATCACGGGATTTTCTTCAGGTGTCTCATGCACCATTGAAACCGATCCATCAGTCTCTGACCTTCACCACCTGGTCGTCATTGCTTTGTAAGTCGATCACCTCTGGAAAGCTCTCGCCAAGGACCTGGCGGAAAACGTGGTTTTGTAGAGCTAAAGAGACAGAGAGAGAGAGAGAGAGAGCTATTTGGGCAGAAAGAATACACAAGTTGGCACAAGTTGGCACAAGCCGACACAAGCCAGGCTTGCGAGTCTGTACCAGTCCTCAGCACCACTTGCAAGTGCGCATGACGTGCGGACCAGTTTTACAATGTTTTACATGTCCTCATGTTTGGATATGTTTGGCATCCTTTGACTGTACTGCAGTGACCTTCAGGTGAAGTATGCAAAGCTACCGATGCTAGCAACCAAAATACCGAGATCTGTGCAGAGCTTTGTTCTCGATCGAATGGCAAAGCCTGAGTTGCCAGGCCGGGAAGTACTGTAGCCATACGATATCGCGCAATCCATCAGGATGAACTAATCTTGATGCCAGTTCCTGCTGAAACCCACCAGACTTGAGGGCCAACTGTCTGCTCTGATCAATGGATGTTTGGTCCAACTGATCAAGTGGATGGAAGTAGGAAACCACTCAAAGTGTTGAAAGCAATTCATCCTATTGCATTCAAAATATCAAAGCCGCTGACTTCCACCACTTAACCCAACTCCCTGCTTCTCTGCTGACTTTCTTAACCAAGCAACACCAGCTTTGCGCTTCAAACGACAGACAAAGGCATCGGCACCTCCGGGTCGTGGTTTGCTCACAAGAATTGTTCACCGTGACACTTGGAGTCCCCAGCCCTCCCCAATCCCCAAGCCGAAAAAATGCTGGGCCATAGGCTTGTGGCCATTCGTCCATGGCTGCCGCGGTTGAAGGACGCCTCAAGGCCAATTGGGCAGATCACGTCTCCGTCTTCGACCATTGCTTCACTGCCACTACCAGCACAGGGCCCCTGCCATATCCCGGTTGTCGTCCAACTCTTCTAGTACCTCACCAGTACCATCTGATCTGCCGTTTGCATTGAAATCCTCATAGTTCTTCCGGTGAAATCCATTTAAATCCCCATGTTTGTTGGTGAAATCTCCCGTCTTTGATCATGTCTGTTGTTGGCTATATCACAGTTATATCAGGTTGTATCAAGTTATATATTATAAGATAGGTAGATAGGTAGATAGATAGGATAGGTGGATAGGTAGATAGGTAGATAGGTAGATAGGTAGATAGGTAGATGGATAGGTAGATAGGTAGGTAGATAGATAGATAGATAGATAGATCGATCGATAGATAGATAGATAGATAGATTAAATAGGTAGATAGATAGATAGATAGATAGATTAAATAGGTAGATAGATTAATTAGATCGATTAATTAGATAGCTTAATTAGATAGATTCATTAGATAGATTAATTAGATAGATTAATTACATAGACTAATTAGATAGCTTAATTAGATAGCTTAATTAGATAGCTTAATTAGATAGCCTAATTAGATTGATTAATTAGATAGATTAGTTAGATGAATTAGATAGACTAATTAGATAGACTAATTAGATAGATTAAATAGATGGATTAAATAGATAGATTAAATACATAGGTTAAATAGACAGATTAAATAGATAGATTAAATAGATAGACTATATAGATAGATTAAATAGATAGATAGAAAGATAGATAGATAGATAGATTGATAGATTAGATAGATTTTATAGATGGATGGATGGATGGATGGATGGATGGATGGATAAATAGATACATAGACTAGATAGATATCATATATTATATTATATATATATCACATTGTTATATATATACACTATATGTAATATATGTCATATTATATAGATATTATTTATAACGATAGTATATTATATATAATATATTATATATATAATATATTACATAGATATTATATTATATAGATATTATATGATATATATGTATAATATTTAATATAATATAATATATATATATTATAATATTATATATAATACATAGTATATAACATATTATATATAATATAATATATATATAATATATATATATTATAATATTATATATAATACATAGTATATAACATATTATATATTATATAATAGTATATAATATTATATAATATATAAAATATATAATATATAATATATAATATGTTATATAATATATATAATATATAATATATATAATATATATAATATATTATATATCTGATATATCTAATATCTCATATATATAATATATCTAATATATAATATATATAATCTATATAATAAATATATAATATATAATATAATATATAATATATAATATATAATATATAATATATAATATATAATATATAATATATATTTTATAATATATAATATATAATATAACATATATATATAATGTATATAATATATAATATATATTTTATAATATATAATATATAATATAACATATATATATAATGTATATAATATATAATATATATATATATAATATATATAATATATATATATAATATAATATATATAATATAATATATATAATATAATATCTATAATATATATAATATATAATATATATAATATAATATATATAATATAATATAATATAATATATATAATATATAATATATAATATATATATAATATATATAATATATATAATATATATAATATATATAATATATAATATATATATATAATATATAATATATATAATATATATAATATATATAATATATATAATATATATAATATATATAATATATATAATATATAATATAGGGATATTACACATAAATATATATTATGTATATATATATATATTATTGTATATTTATATATATATATTGTTGTATATTATATATATAATATATATTGTATATTATATATAGTATTGTATATATATTATATTATATATTTTGTTATATATATATATGTTATTATAATAAATAATATATATATATATATATCATTATATATATTATTATATATACATATATTATAATATATATTAGATATAGATCTTATCTTCATTTATATATATTATATATATGTACCATTATGTACGCATGTCTGTACTTATGTCCATGTATGTCGTATCCATCCTCAAACCGCTTCTCGCTGTTCACCTGGGCATCCCACAGCCTCTGTGTCTTCCAGGTCCGGGGCTGCGGGGCCTTTGAGGCAGCAAGATATGTCTTATAACATTATAGTACCATGAGTACCATTCATATCATGTAAATCCATACAAATCCATATAACCTCGCATAAAACCCTGATTGTTTGTTGTTTGAAGTTCATGTCTCTGATTATTCAATGGTTTTCGCAGGCTGGTTGATGGTTTACTACACACCATGAAGATGTATGAAGCATATACAAATGCACAGAGGATCTATCACGCCTGGCAAATCTATGTCTTGTCTTGCACAAAATGCAACCCAAGAGGCTTCGTCGAATGCTCTCGGTGTCCTTTGCTTCTCGCTCCTCCAAAGAAGGAAGATGAAGCAAAGCATGTCAAGAGATGTCAAGAGGAAACGACCAATCTTGGGCTGTGTGGAATCTCCTGACTGAGGCTAAAGTAAACGTCGTACGAAGATGTACGAAGTACAAAGTCATTCTGAGTCATTCTCGTAAATCAATCTCCATCCTACACTTTGAAACGATGGATTCGGTTCAGGGGTGTTTAGGAGACTTCTGTGATAATCCTTGATGGTTTGTATCGCTTGTTTCCATGACAAAGGCACTGCCCATTTCAACTCACACATGAACATCATGAACTGATCTTGACATATATGGACCATATCATCAAGGAGCACCCCTCGTCGCCTAAAATGCATTCGCCCGTTCTCAGGTGCAAAAGCCGGTCCAGCGCACTTTTCCGTGCAAAGGCTGTATCTCCAAGGGGGAATTGTGCTGAGACAGGCTGAGGCGCTACTTCTATCTACTTCTTGGAAGTTCCAGCTATGTATCGCTGGCAGCTGGTCAGCCACAGGGCGACGCCGCGGAAGTCCTAAGGATGTCCCACGGCTTTGTATCCTGGGCTCAAGGCTCTCAGAACTGTCGCTTCACCTGGTTGCTGATCTACCTCAGAGCGTGGCCACAATGCAGTGCTCTTCCATAATTGATAGATCTTGATAGTGCCTAGTGCCAAGTTGAGAATGTTGATAATTATGTCTTACATCCAGCTGAAGCGTGGGAAAAAGAACAAAAAAACGAAAAAAAATGCCCAATGAAGCCCAACCAGATATCTTTGACATGTAAAAAAAACATGCCGTGACTCGTGACCAACATTTTCCACTCCAGCATCCATGCTGAGGGCCCTGGCACTGTGCGTCGCCAACAACGCTGCGATCAGCACAGCCACCCCGGAGGCGCCACACATCACCTGACGGCACTGCGATTCACTTCCCAACTTCAAGTTCAGAGAGTCTAAGGGCCGGCTATCGTTTGCATAAAGGTAGGTAGTGATGGTAGTGTTTTGTGCGAGAGTTCTTGTTTCCAGTCATATCTGCAGCCAAGCTGCATAGTAGCCGGTCGATTCATAGGCGGCTTGATGTTCTAAATTCATTCGTTCGGAGCTCACCGAGACCACTTCTGGCAAGGGCGAGGCAGCTCAAAGATTGGCAATTCCTTCACTGGACTTGGCTTGTGCCTTCAATACCTCTAAATTCTAAATCAACTTGCGTTTATCCCTTTCCTGCCTAAAATTTAGTGCAATACCGTATGGTTTGGAAAGCTCTAAGCCGTAAGCCAGCCCACTCAATGCCCTCCGGTGGCCTGTGTATCCTTGCATGGCGAACATATTCAAAATGATTCCCGCAAGGAAGTTGCCAAGGCCAACACCTGCATTCCTGCGTGGATTTTAATCCGTCAGTTTCACCCAAAAAATCCGCAGCTTTCTGCTTTACTTCCCACGAAACAGGTTTCCGCAAGATGGCCACGCTCTTGGCTTGACAGCCCAACAAATCTCGGATGTCAGATGTGTCAGAAGCCAAGCAGAAACCACGCCTGCACATCACGTTGAATCCCATGACATTCGCCCACTCTGCATCCTCTGGAATCAGTGACCAGGTAATGTCTTGGAAGCGAGTGTATGCCTCAATCTCTGCGGCAAAGAAACCGCCAGTACAAGGGTGCTGGGGGATGTCAATGGGCACTGAGTTGTCAGTTGGGTGTAGCTGATGCAACTTGTGCCCAGGGGTAACCTCCTTGAAGGGCTTCAGAGATCTCAGAGGTATTGGTCTGGTACAAGGTTGTTCAAGTGTGTTGAGGTCGAAGAAATCGAGACTCATCACGTACTGATCAAAGGCAGCGATAAATCGGTCTGAATCCATCTTTGCCAAACAGTCACGTCATGTCACGTCTGCAACCCCGCAAGCCAAACGCCGCCATTGAGGATCCAACTGCGCCGAAGCAGAAGCCCAGTGAAATAGCGATGCCCTGCAGGTTTCAGTGGGCCGACCTTTTATCTATGTACTGCGCTTGGCAGCCACAAAACCATACAAAACCAGCATCAGCACCCAGCTCTTGCAGCCAAGGGACATAGAAGTAGACCATCCTGCCAAAACAAGCGGAAGCGAGGTGCTTGCACCCATGAAAACGCATATTATGTTTGATTATGGTTGCATATAACCAAGCAGAAGACTTCAGAAGACTATAGGATGCTTTTCTGCTTTTCCATTGCACCCAGCACATCCCAGCACCATGCCCTGGCAGCTTCCAGCTCCAGCGTCTCCTGGTCTCAGGACTAGGCAGGAGCGTCATGAAGGGCATGGCAATGGCCACGATTCCAAAGCCCACCACTGCCAAGATCCTAGGGGAAAACTGGCAAAATTGGCGACCCCAGAAATTGGACAATGGACCAAGGGGGAAAGATTTTCTTTAGAATTTTGCTGAATTTCGACCCATTTGACACCCTTGGGTGAAGGCCTTGAAGGCCTTGGGTCAGGGGATTTCCGTCAAGTGACAGCTTCTTGGCCCGAGCGTGCAGTTGTGACTCGTCCTCCTGGCAGTTTGGAAATGCTTCAAGAGTGAAGATTTAAGGTGCAAAATATGCGAAAATGGTGATTGGTTGGTGGTGCAATAACCATCTTGAAAAATATGAGTTCATCAATGGGAAAGATGACATCCCATATATGAAATGGAAAATGAAAAATGTTCCAAACCACCAACCAGGTGAAGACGGTGAATGATTTGATGGAGTTTGGATGACCTACTGTAACTGAGACGGTTTCGTCATCTTCACTGATTCTACAACTGACGTATGGATGGCTCTTTCAAGCTGAGGCAACAAAGGCCACATTCCTCCCATGCAAAGTTTGATCAGATATGAAACTGGGAACTTATTTTCTCTGACGTCTGACTTGGGCATTCAAAATTTTATCTCAACATACTTCAACCACACAATTGATTCGGATTGATTCGGATTAATGCGGTTCTCCAGGTGATGCAGTGTGCCGTGCCGAAAATGTCCACTCCCAGCGGCCCCATGCGGCAGCGCTCCATGCTGTGATGGATCCGGCCATCCCGCCCTGGCTGGTGGCCACCATCTCCAGAGAAAACAGCTGCCACCTCAGCTGTGATGGGACCAGCGGGCCTAGCTGGGTTGCAATGGTTGCAATACACTTCCCATGTTCCTGGCCGAATTTGGAGGAATTCCCTCTACTAAGCGCTGCTCATCATCATCATCATCATCATCGTCATCGTCCTCGTCCTCGTCCTCGTCCTCGTCCTCATCCTCATCCTCATCCTCATCCTCATCCTCATCCATCTATTCCAGGCCCATGGTAGCATCACTGGCAGCACTTGCAGCTCCCTCCGTTCCTTCCGCTCCCTCCGCTGGTTTTTGGGTCAGATGCCACTGCAAACATGAAGAAGGTCACGGAGAGGTAGCTAAACTCTCGCTGCTGGAGCCCCTGCACTGGCGGGTCTCACTCGATTTCTGATAGGGATTTCTTGAAGCTCTTGGCAAAATGTTCATATTTTGGGGGGATTGATTGCTTGAAATGTTTGGATAAAGATTGGATTAACATGTTGATTCCAGGCCCACCTGGCTTTGAATGCCCACCAAATCTCGCACCATGAGCAGCAAGAAGAACATTGGCGCAGTACCCAAAGCAAAGACAAAGACCTGGGACGCATATCAAGCGCTGCATCAAATGAGTAGCGGTGAGAAATTTCAGTAAAACCCCTCCCGCAGAATGGCATTGATAGCGCGGTGGGAGTGTCGATGAGCATGGACTGACGTGCAGGATGATGCCAAGATAGATACCAGCCTTTGGGTAGTCATCTTTGCTGCCAAGTGTCACTAAGGCAAGCCAATGAGAACCCGCCAGGTAGTCGAGCAGGGGCTAAATACCTCAAGAAGTGATCCCCTTCCAAACTCTGGTAATTTAACGCCCAAACACCCCGCGTCGCCCAACATCACCTTAAGGTTTCCAGGGGTTTGGGGTTCTGGAATTAGGGTGTTAGGGTTTATGTTGAGTGTGTCCCTTGATTTTTCCTTTGTCATTCTTGGGTTTAGGGCTTTTGGTTTGGGGTGTAAGGTTTTAGGGTTTTAGGGTGCTAGAGTTCAGGATGACTTTTGCAATGACGTACAGGGCCCCTACCTGAGCCATTCAGGAATGCCAGAATGACCCACTTTTTACAGTGTTTTCAGAGTGTTTTGGGCAGTTTGCCCGTAATTTGACATAAAGCCTTGGCACCTCACGAAACCTTTTCCGGTCACTTGATACGGCCAGGGCGCGCATATGACAAGTAGTCGAAGCCGGGTTTGAAGTGGAGCCTGGCGGGCCCATGTGAAGGGATGGTAGGGGGTAGAAATGGAAGCAACATGAAGCAACATGAAGCAACAATTCCAAACACCAAATTCATCCAAATTCCATATTTTGCCGAAGGAAGTTTAGGAGTCTATACTTCCGTCTAATGGACAATTGAAAACCAGTGAGTACAACAGATGAGCCGAGAAAAGTGAGAAGAGGTAAGAAGAGGTGAAATGAGCTAAGTTGATCTAAGTTGAGAAGAGCTGAGAAGAGCTGAGATGAGCTGAGATGAGAAGAGCTGAGAAGAGCTGAGCAGAGATGAGTAGCGCTGAGAAGAGCTGAGTTGAGAAGAGCTGAGAAGCAGAGATGAGTAGCGCTGAGAAGAGCTGAGTTGAGAAGATCTGAGAAGAGCTGAGATGAGGTGAGAATGGCTGAGAAGAGCTAAGAAGACCTGAGATGAGCTGAGCAGAGATGAGAAGCGCTGAGAAGAGCTGAGATGAGAAGAGCTGAGAAGAGCTGAGCAGAGATGAGTAGCGCTGAGAAGAGCTGAGTTGAGAAGAGCTGAGAAGAGCTGAGCAGAGATGAGTAGCGCTGAGAAGAGCTGAGTTGAGGAGATCTGAGAAGAGCTGAGATGAGGTGAGAATGGCTGAGAAGAGCTAAGAAGACCTGAGATGAGCTGAGCAGAGATGAGAAGCGCTGAGAAGAGCTGAGTTGAGAAGAGCTGAGATGAGCTGAAAAGAGCTGAAAAGAGCTGAGAAGAGGAGAGAAAAGATGAGAAAACATGAGATGAGATGCGATGGGCTGAGTGGAGCTGAGAAGAGGAGAGAAGACATGAGATGAGAAGAGCTGAGATCAGATGAGACGTGAGGAGATCAGATGAGATCAGATGAGATGATGAAGAGAAAGAAATTGCCCAGGTACTAAGCTAAGTTGTATTGTGTTACATATATAATTATTATATAATTATTGTTTATTTGAGCAAAATTCCAAAGTTCCAAGATGTTCCAATTCTTGTCAATGGCAACGGCTCCGAAAAGCTTTGCGCGAATCCTCTGTGCACGAAATGCTGGCCTGGTCTGACTGCTTCGCCGCACTTGGGTGCTTTCCCTCAATAGAAAGAGCGCCGGCATGGAGCAAACCAGCATCATCACCAGGTATGCCCCATACAACCACGAGAAGTGCCTCGGTTCAGTAAAGCCGTGCCCTGGCTGCAATAAGCCAGACTCAACGTTGCTCCAATCTGGTCCAAGCTGCAATTCAACTGTGAACATCAGCATGACGTAACCTGGCAGACCCGGCAGTGTTCATCCATCTGTGATCCAATCTGAACAAATCAAATCTGCAAAAGGCCAAGTTCTTGTACTTGCACATCATGAGGCATGATTGGAGCGGTGGTGTCAGAATGGTCGGAATGGCACACCCCGATTGTCTACTCTGGCACTTTGCGAAGTACGGACCCGGTTTGCGGACTATGACACGCATTGAATATGCAAGTGCAGACTGCAGACGCTCTTGGAACCCAAATGGTATCAGCACCCTCCACATCCACAAAACCACTGGCCGCCGCTGGCCTAGAACTCCTCCAAGCAAGAATAGGGCACCCTGCACCAGGGCGAACAACTGCCAGGGTTAGAAAGCTCAAGAGATCAACAGCCCCCAATCAGGGCCCGCAGCCATCAACTGGCCCGCCATTTTGGGTTCCAAAATCTGAAACATAGATGGGTTTGCACAAAACTCCAGTGGTTTGTCATAATATGTTATACTAATTTTCATATATTTTCTGTATTCACTGTATTCCATTGAAACGGTTGTGATCGGTCGTGTTATATCATGTTCTGGGCCTCCCCCATGCTTCCAGGCTGTCTGCGCACCTTGACCGAACTAGCCATGGCATATTGCGTGGACGGGACCATCTCAGGTGCCAGGGCCTGTGGCACAGCTGAGCTTCGTGGTGGAAAAAGTGTCATGCCGGAAATCCATGCCTCCATGGTCACATCGTTCATGCACTCACCCATTCGCCAGGTGAGAATGCCAACCATGAACCTGGCTGTGCGGATGCACCGGCTACCGGGGCGTCAGCAAGGGTAAGGTCCAGCATTGCAGATATTGCAGGATGGAATGTGTGATTTCGGCCATTGAGGGTGCTTCCATCATTGCTACCCGCGGGACCCGAGCACAACAAGAACACGGCAACAAGTGGACCCCTTGGTCATCCAAGATCATGCGACAGCCACAGCTGTATGTTTTGCCAAGACACCAGTAAAAGTTGTGTTGGGCATCTGACCTAAGCTATCAAACGTCTGGTGGGATAAGTGTGGAAACCACACTGGTTATGGCATTTGTAGTCGACCATTCTCAATCTGTCCGAAGTTGGAGGTTTGTTGTATATGTTCCGTCATGTTCCCATGTGTTTCCCATTGACAATCCACTGGTGGCTGCCCAGCCACAGCATGCAAATCAGGATGCCGATGGCCGCCATGATGACGCCGATCCGCAGGAACATGCGCCGACCCAAGCCGTGACTATGGAGGACCAGGAAGTCGCCAAAGAGGCCCAGGACCTGCCCCAAATCCACTGTACTCTGGATACATTCCATGTAGCATCTATGTTAAATCCATGCTGCCATTTCTGGGAACCCCTGGGAACCATTTCTGAAACCATTGAAGTCCAAAAATATGGCAGCCGATGAAGTCCGAAAATATGGAGTCCTAACGTGACCCATCTGACCCATCTGTCCCTCTGTCCACCAAGCCACTGGATTCAAGAGCATCGTCCCCTTGGTGCCACATCTCGTCATCTCGACATCTTACAGAAAATCTGAAAAAGGACCTTCATCGTGCGCAATTCCTGTTGGAATATCATAGAAAATTAAATGTCAACTTCTAATTAAAATGAAATCATGATATTCCTGTTGTTAAATTTAAATCATTAGATCGTGCGCAACGACATTCCTGTTAACACTTCTAATGATTCTAATGTTAACGACTTTTGGAAATCTTCCCAAGAATCAAGAATTGGGGACACTCCACCGTATCATAGCATTTGTGCTCCGACAACTTGTTGCCTTTTGGATGGCCGCCTTCTAGCACCAATCAATAGCATTCGGCTCATTTTCCTCCGGTTGCATCATTAATTACATTAACTGATGCAAAATTGTCCTTTGGAGGTCTGGGTCAAGTCAGAACATAGCAGCAAAGTATAACAAAGTCTTACACTGGGAATGTGGGAATGGCTTTTGGTTTTGAAAGAATAGGCAGTCTATCGCAGTCTTACACTTCCACGTGATCCGTCTTGATCTTTTTGCAGTCAGGGCACCCCATATATCAATTTTGCTACGCCCATAAAGGCGGCCTGCAAATCATGGTGATTTCGACCCTCCAAATGCATTCAATTTGCGTCGTGAAAATGTTGCACTTCATATCTTTGAGCATGTACCGTGATCCGTGATCCTTATATAATGCACAGCACGCTTTCAAATTTGATCGTTGTTCACTACTTTTAAGCTGCGGTTAAGTTGAACTCAATAGACTTCCAAGTTCCCAAGCCTGATCATCGAACCAAAGACTCTCACCCTCCCTCGCAAGGAGATATGGCAGCCACGTGGCTGTATCTCAGCCGGGGCAGGATGTCAACAGGATGTCAACTTCAGAGAACCAACACCTTCCCAAATCCTTCGAGGACACCATCGCCATAACAACTCGCAGACCTGTCCTAAAGCTCTCAAATTTGCCGACTCCAATCCGACGTCCAGCCAATGCATGGTTTTGTCATTCGAGTTGTGGCAGGCAAATCTTCTAAGGCAATCTGAATTTGGGGTGTTACACTTCTGAAAAACACCTCTAACATCCCGGCGTCTTTCGTTCACAGAATCAATCCAAGCAGCTGAAGCCAGTGTAGAGCCGATACGCCAGGAGGCACATTACGCTAAAGACCGACCAACTGCCCTCAGACGGAATGGAGATTTTTCAGTGGTGGATATCTGGGGATTTCCTTTTAGGGTGTCTGTGCTTCGGATCACCTCACACGTCAAAAGATCACTTTTTTGTTGATCAATATCTGTTTGTTTTACAACAGGATTCCAGGATGGACTGTGCACTGCGGCACTGTATTATAGCCAAGGATCTCCAGCACCCAAGGCAGGTGTATTCGTGGGCGATTGCGACCCTGGAGAAGGACCTGACAAGGGAATGCCACCTGCCTCCAATTGTCTCAGTGTTGTACACTTCCACATGTCCATGACATACATGTCATGTCCATGATAGGCATCATCGTCATTCATAGTCCATTGTCTTCATGTGACATCAAGAGAGAGGATGTCTCCTCTCCTATCTCAGGATATCCTTTGGTCAAACAGGTGAGGCACCTTTAGAGTAGTGATGCTTGAATAGCAGTCACTACTCACATGTTTTGAACCAAAGTGGGACATGGTGCCATGGAAAAGTTCGAGGACCTGTTCTTTTAATGAATTGAAGTTGTGATCCAACAAGCAGTCTCGCCAACAAGCGGCTGCTCAGGCCCACTTCCATGGGCATCTTTTGCGCTTCTCCCTCATCATCTTCCTGGGGGGCCACGGGTGGATGCCACGGCCCGAGAGTTGGATCACGGTGAAATGTGGTTTGCCAAGCTGAAAACGTGAAATGCCAAGGCTCGACCAATGAGCTTTGCAGAACGGCAAAGACCCTGCGGGAAAGGTACCAATGGTAGACCATGTATGATCATGTATGATCATGTATGATCAATGGTAGATCAATGGTTGATAATGTATGATCATGTGGTATTGAAATGCACATCCTCTCGCTGGAAAGGCTCCCCAAAATTTTCAAAATCACGAGCCGATCTCAAAAAAGCCCGTGGACACTCCATGCCTTCTAAGGTCGATAAGGGCCAATACCACATAGAGGCAGTAGATCACGGCAATGGCTCGATACAGTCCAGACCAGTATGATGGCTCCTGGCCAAAAGTCAGCTCCATCAATGGCAGCTTTTCTGGGCATAAAGAGAGAATCCTGAAATTTGGGATTTTGAGAAGTCAACCCCATTTCCACCTGATTTGCGAGGAAGAAGTCCCATCGACCATTCAATAGCCTGACTATGCGAACCCTTCAGTACACCCGCTCTGGAAGTCTCAGGACTGTAGGTTCCGTCATTCTGAATGCACTTGCTTTATTCGAAGCAACAGAACGGAGTCTCAGGATTCTACTGGCGATTGGTCAGGAAACTTCAATCCACCGCAAACTGAGGTTTTATATGTCATTATTCATTCATGTATATATTATATGATATTATATGTACATTACATATTATTATATGTACAATGTACATTATACATATTATATACACATACTAGATGCAAGATATATGCAAGATATATACTCATCTTATGTGTATACAGTATACATATTATATATTTTATAATTTTTCATAAATCATAATCATAAATTATAGTAAATAAATCTATGTTATTCTTGGTGACATCATTGCCGGTGTGGTCCTGTGAGAGTGCTTCAGCATCTTGGATGACATTCACAAAGGAAATGTTAAAAGCTCCTCGTTTTGTGACAGGCAGAGGCTGTTCATGTGGTAAACTAAGTATACCATGAACATGCATAAACTATGCCGTACACAAACCCTGTATCCTTTTTTGCTCATATTTGGGATGGTTTGTTCTTGAGTTTACCACATTATATACAGCAGAACTTGATCCGAGGTAGTGCGTTGCAGAACATCATGAAGACTGATGCAGAAACGATAAAAAATCGAGGTGTGGGCTGTTGTGAATGTCCAGATTCAATGGGAGAAGAAGAAATTGCGTGACTCTTTCTGAAACGCACATCGAAACTTAAATCAATACGTTCAAGAAGAATGTAAAGATAAAAAGAGTGCATGTGCCGAACAGATCCGAAAAGCATATGACGTGATTAATCCCTTCTCCGACACTCTGCACCATTCTGGACCATGCCAAGGGGCTGTGAAGAAGTTCCCTACCAGATGGAATATGCACCATGTTCGGAAGTCAGCCACATTGGCTGTAAGCCAAAGGCAGCGGAAGGGTCGGGTCTGAAGGGTCTGTGATCAGTGCAAGGGGATTAGATCAGGGAAAACAATCCGTTTCACAGCGAAAATGATGAAGCCACTGCGTGGAGAAAATTACCTCTGTGGCTCTGAGCAATGCTCGTGTTATCTTCAATTCCCACTGAGTTTTGATGCAGGCAGGGATTGTCCAACAGGCAACAAGACATGGTCAAGCGGAAAATGGTGATACGGCGATACCCCAAACCCATTGCTGAATCATCGTCCCATATAGTCATATATAGTCCCCATCTACTGGCCATAATGGGAGTTAAACCAGTGCTATCATCCCATCCCAATCCACCCGGTGAAATGATGGTGCAACGGTATCCTTCTCCAGCGCCCACGCGATTCGCCTTTCTGCATCGTGAAACCTGTTGGGTACCCCAAATTTGATGGTTAACTGACACGGTTCATCAAATCACTTTGTCAAAATATGTTCAGACACACCTAGAAATATCAATGTCCATACCAAGGCTGCCAGAAATCCAGGAGTGTTCCAACTCAGTTGAGTCAAAATAGATGAAAATAGCTGGAAAGTGGGGAAACAAAAAAAAAGGAAAATAGATTGAATGATCCTGCGTTTGCCCTGCTCTGCCCGAATTCTCTTGTAGAATGGGGTGATCCAGGATCCACATAATATGTTCCGTGACCTCATCTGACTGGTCTTCTGCACTTTCCACGAGTTCTCCTGACGGCATCAGTTTTGGTGAAGCAAGTGAGCTGTCTGATGGAAGCAATATTGAGTAATCATTAGTAATCATGGATAATTTTCCACATCTGCAATTGTATGATCTGCAATCAATATCACTATATAAATTATTATAAATTGCATATAGTTTCATGATGGCATCACATGGATCGCCGGATCGAGTCTGTCTCAGTCGCAGTTGTCCCGCCACAACTCGGCTACGATACCAAGGCGGCCAGCTTTTCGCGTCAGAAGTGGCATGAAAAGAACGAAAACTCATTGTCAAGTGCATTCAAATTCTCAGAACTGAACGCTTTCCGCGCTTCAGTTCTGCTAAAAGAACAGATGCTTTGTCAATTTGCTGCCCCCTCTCACATGAACCAATGACAGATGCATAGGTCGTCGAATCCTGAGAGAATCCACGCACTGAGGCTGTTGAAAGGTTCAAAGTTGATCAGGTATCTTGAAGGATGTTTCAAGTTTTTTCGATTTACCCCTCACCCAATTCAGCCCTTGCATCTGGGCACCGGTTGAAGGGTAGATCCCTCCAACTTCGCCAGCAACAGCAAGGCTTGTGACCACTGTCCACAGATCTCGCAAGCGTAGAGCACAGAATTGTAGCTGATGACCTTGACGGAGCAGGAACACCAGCATTTCAGCATTTCAGCTTGTGACCATTGCAGCCCATTTTCAAAGATGAATCCCAGTAAAGCATAGTAACATAGTAAAGCATCCTTCCCTGATCCATCCTGATCCCATCCAAGTTGCTGTGAGCTGCAGTTGACGTTGTGCTTCAGCAAAGAGTTGGAGGGACAACTGCGCCGTCGGACGTGGGCAAGTTTGGTTACGACGGTTACGATCTACGATGGGATGGGTGTTTCCACCGACTGGGGGGCTGGTACTCATGGTGAATGCTCCACTGCCATCAGTGAATTGCTGGAAACCAACCGCTTGGTCAGCAATTTTAATAGTTTTAGAGGAGCTGTGAGACTTTTTCATCAGTCCACTAGGAAACAATCTGTTTCCTTCTCAGAGATGTCCATCCACAGGCAACAACCCGAGGCCTCCCACAGATTGGATTTTGCGCAAGCACTGATTGTGGAGTTGTATAAGATGATGTTGGCTCCCCTGGTGCGTCTACCTGTCGAAACGTAGCTGGCAGATGCAGAAAGACGGCATGAGGAGATGGTGGCGGTGGGGGATGGCTCTTCATTTCGGATATGCCTAATATGCGCAATGTGGTGAACTCAATCATGTACCCCAATGTCTTCAAGCTGTGATTAGGTGCGCCCAACTATGTAACTATTGGACATTACCAGCCTAGTGAAACAAGAGTTGTCAACCAACTGACATATCACAAATCAGATCAATCTTGATTCCCATATTTTTCATAGTTTCATCCCTATTTTCATCCCTATTTTTCCCTCATTTTGTAATCAATGCTGTTTGGCCAACCCTTCCCCACCTGACAGCAAGGCCAAGGCATGGCGCCAGGCACTCACTGCTTCACAGGCGCTCAGCACACTACCCAGCGCCACCAGATCTGCCTCCCCAGGCCCTGACCTCACGTGGCAATGGGGGATGTGGGGGGTGGTGACGATGCTATCACTATCCAAAAAAATATACATAGTGTAGATATAAAGCTATAAATTAGATAATGTGAGTATATCCCGAATGGTTAGTGATGCTTGAACTGGACGTTTCATCACTTGAGGTCAGTACTCTGTTGGGAAGCAAACGTCCAATTGACTGAGGCCGCACAACCCAATCATTGGAGAGGTTCCATTTGAGGATGGTGACAACTGGTGACAACTGGTGACAACTGGTGACAACTGGTGACAACTGGTGACAACTGGTGACAACTGGTGACAACTGGTGACAACTGGTGACAACTGGTGACAACTGGTGACAACTGGTGACAACTGGTGACAACTGGTCCACTTGGAACTGAAATCACCAAGTGCCTTTTCTCTCCCGTGTGTCGAACATATGGTGTGTTGGGATTTCTGGGATTTCAGGCAAGAGACAGAGCATAGAAATGCAAAGCCATCCTCCATTCCTTGCTCTTCGCACATGCTCCAATCACCTGCACATCATCTACTCCAAGTCAAACCCTGGAGTGTCGTTCATCTTTCCGCCGCTGAACCGAGATGACTTTGTTACTTCATGGCTCCTCCTCCTCATCAAATGGTTCTGACTCTGAAAACTATTGGTTCTCTGCCTCGAAATGACATCTCATTTGCGGAGTATGGAACGTGAGCATACGTGAGCCAAGGCACAGCGTTGAGACACATCTCATCAGCCCTCAGCTTGGCGATCTGGAGCGCTTGCAAGATGCCTCGGGGCTCTTGGATTGCAGCCACGGATAGCCCCACGGATAGCCCTGTCGCACTCCCAACAGCTCCAGAAAACCAAGGTACCAATGGCATGGAGCCATTCACCACAGCGCTCACATGCACTGATAGTAGTGCCATAGGCAACCACATCTGGTTCTTTGAAACCTCCGAAAACCAACATTCGGTGAGGCTATCTGATTCCAGTGGTTGCTACATACCGGCCACTGTCTGGGCCACGACGAAACTTTCATCTTTGGTCCCATTAAAATACGGTTCCCTCATGTTTGGTTAGTCTGGGCCACGACGAAACTTTGTACGCAGATCATGGCATAAGATGGCGTCCGGTGACCCGGTGGTCCACCTGGGTGATCATCCAGGAGTTGTATCGCTGACGTCCAGTAGGTGGCTTTGGCACCTCAGCGGCGGCAGAACGCTGGAACCACCGCCTTGCTGCACTTTGCTTCACGGGTTTCGTCAACGATCGGATCTCGAGTAATCCATCGCAATCAACTTGTGCAAACATCATGTGACGTTAATTGAACTGTGGAAAGGTTTATTGGAAGCACCTGCCGTGGTTTCTGGACACCCCGTCCTACTGCGTATGCAATTGAATAGAAAGGACCAACTACTGGCTCGCCATTCAGCTGAGTGTCACAAGTTCCCAAAGCGGCCTGTCTAATTTGATGCTTCAAATCCATTTTGGACGGTTAAAATCCTTGACTCCCAAACTGGATTGACGGAAAAAATTGCAGGAAACCGGAAACCTATGGAAACCCTTACATTTTATTCTTAAAAACTATAGATTTGAATCAGAGCAGTGATGACCAAATTGAGCCTAGCCTCAAGCGCTAAGTGCAGAGTTACATCGCAGCAGCGGCTGCACCTCATAGTCACCTGCAAAAATGGCGGTATCCCTCAACGACGGAAATGATGGGAAGATGAACGTCCAAAAAAAACACCTAAAATCAGAGTAAAACAATAACAGGACCCGTTTGACCCATAACCCACTTTCGGCTGAAGCTGCAAGCTATATCAAGCTATCCCATAAGATCCTAGGAGTTGAACTAGCTGCCAAAAAAGAACCTACCTAGATTTGGATACGAATAATAAAGACTGCGCCATAGAGGGAAGATGTGGTCAATATATCGGGGAATACCACGCCCAAGTGACACTTTCCCAGCGGTTACCAGCAGCAGAGGTTCAGACCTGTCTATACCGATGATGCGCATCTCACATGTATCATCCTCCATGAATGGTTCTGGAAATCTCCAGTGGTAGCCCTCATTTAGATACATTCAGAAACATACCGGGTAAAGTACTTACTTTTTTTGCATCCACCATCATGTTCCGCCGCCTTAAGTGGATTAATATAACCATACTATACATACTATACCCCAGTTATATGTGGGATATCCATGGATATCCCAAGTTATATGGGGATTATAAACCACCAACTTAAGTGCAACTGGGCGAATCCCAGTTAGATCCTATGATCCTGCCGCGCCTAGTCGCTGCAGCACCTGCTGCCAGCAGCTGGCATCTTCCAGTGCAAAAATTGGCTGAATCCTCAAGGCCACACCGTTCAAACTCGGTCTTCAGGGAAAACGTGTCTCCACAAGGGTGAATCCCTCATATTGTTGCACCATGCTACATGCTATCTATTAGTTATATAATTATATATAATAGTTATGTACTCCAGGTGGTTTTTGAGTTTTTTATACTCCAGGTGGTATATATTATAGCTATATATTATGTGGTACCGCTTCCCAGGCCTCACGTTGGGCATCGCCACGGCCCTTGGCCACGCACATCGCCTCAGGGCCGCCGCCGTGGCGTCGCTGGGCCGAAGGGCCGAAGCATGGAGCGCACCAAGGAAGACCAGCGCCACCTGGGTCACCAGTTTCTGGTGATTTCATGGGATACCCTCTGGTAAACATGCAAAAAACTATGGAAAATCACTATTTTTAATGGGTAAATCCACTATTTCTATGGTCATTTTCAATAGCTATGTTAGTTTATCGGAGGATAAATCAAACAAAATCATGGTAAATCCACTATATGATGGGATAAATCGATAAAGATCATGGTAAATCCACACACTATCAATTAAACAGATTTAAACACTATGGGATTTCACCAACATAAGGCCTTGCCCTCTGACTCAGTCTGATGCAATTGGAATGGGCCTGTGATACGCACCGGCTGGGAAATCCCCATGCCTTATCATTTTTGCAGAGTAAACATGGGAATGTCTTTGGAAACGTTGAACAATCATCTACTGTAAGAGATGGATTAGATGGGGTATATATATATATATAAGCGCGGCGGGATACATAGAATTCAGAATCGATAATTTCGGCCTCGAAAAGCATCTTTCCAAATCGAAAGAAAACAACTATATTTAATAGAATATGAAAACACAATCTTTAAAAACCTGTAGAATATTAATTTTCGATTCTGGAAGATGCTCTTTCCCAGGTTTTTGACTTACCTTAATTCAGTGCCCGGGAACCACCAACAATAGCAGTGGAGGGGTGCCAACTGCCTCTTTTTTCATTGCCTTAAATGTGGCAACTCGTGGAGGGGACTCTTTTGTGAACTTCAAACTGCCTTCCTTTGATGCAAAGTGCAGTCAAAAACTTGTCAATTTGGGAAACCCATGTCTTTCCACAATCCAGATGCAAAAATTATTGACGTATTGTTTCTTTTCAGGGTGTCGGCTTGCATTCTTTTCTCTTCGTCCCCTTTCTTTTCCTTTTTTCTTAGATGTTCGTTTGGGCTGCCATCAGTTAGCAGCTGCAGGAACACATACATAGAATATGGATGAATATGGTACATGTGTTAATAGAATGATTGCCTAATTGGGTAATTTGTAGGGGGACCCTCTTGTGAACTTCAAATTGTCTTCTTTAATTATGAAAAATGTAGTTTCAAGCTGGTCAAAAGTTACCCAGAACCCAGAACCCAGAACCCAAAACCTAGAACCCAAAAGCCAGAACCCCAATACTAAATATGCATTCAGATTTCAAAACCCTGAACGCCTAAAATTCAAAATTTCGAGGCCTCCCCAAAAAGAATCGTCTTATAAAATGTTTGTTTGACAGGGCCCAGCGCCAAATCTGGATCCTGGGCCTTTCGGGCCCCCAAACCCAGAACCCAGAACCCCAACCCAGAACCCAAAAGCATTGAAGTATTGTTTTTTGAGGGTGTCCGAAAATATTCTTATCTCTTCTCTCCAACTTTCTTGCCTTCTCCAAATTCTCCAATTGATAGAACCGAAAAAAATGTCCAATCTGCTGGGTTTCACACATGTTTTTCATATGGAAACATCGTTGTTCCTATGGTATTGCGTTGGCTCATGTTGTGCACTCCAAAATTCTACCCCAAATATGTCTACTCCAAATATTCTAAGTTGTTTTTTCCCGTCGACACCCGAAGGGTTGGAAAAATGCATATTCTATGTAGGCGGCCATGCTTTTAAATATATATATATATATTTACACATATATCTGTATATATATATAATTATATAGGTTGATGATCCGGTCAAAGTGTGAGCGCTGTGGTCAGTGGATGGGTGATAGACGGTATAATGGGGGAACCAATCGTAAACTTTTTTTGGAATCAACTTATTGGAAGATGGGCCATGGGAAATCCTGGGATCGACTAATTTAACTTTCGTATAACTGTTCAGGTATGTATTTATATATTTATTCAACTGCCTTCCTGCAAGGCAGGAACAAAGAACTATTCAAGAGTCAAAGATATCTCAAGCGCAAAAATTCTGTCTATCGAAGGTACAATTTAGAGATATTTAGAGCACTTGGATCCCTCTGCCTCGTGTTCTTTCGAACAAGAAAGGTCAACGTTTTCATGTGTGGCAAATATCGCTCCAGAAACCACAACCCATTCAAATCCATTTACGTCCATTCACATCCATTAAAATCCATTCAAATCCACCAAGCTTTTCAAACTCATCAGACTGATCATCAAACCTGGCGATGATCCATGGCCTCCCATGCACTGCTCGTGATGGCCGAGTTGAATGTCACTGTGGTGGGCTGTAGACCTCATGCCAGACCCATGCCACAGTGTGCGGCATGTAAAACGAGATGCAACATGATACGCCAAAGAATACAACCAGAACCTTTCTGCTGGAGCTGCAATACCAGTTTATACCTGAATTGAAAAGTTTATACCTTGTGAAGTCCGATGGCCGGGTCACCTCGACACTGGAGCTGCTTCACCAAATGCACCGCACGAGACCACGCCGGCAATCGGCCATGGTGGCCATGGTGGCCATGGCGGCCATGGCCATTGGCCAAATGGTGCAGCTGGGCATTGTAGGAGATCACATCAGCAGAACATCCTCCAGAACTGTCACTCCATGGTGTTGGCTGCCATATCTATCAGCGCCCATCAAAGCGCCCATCAAAATCATATCGGGTGAATATGATTATGGAATAGGGATTCCCATAGTAATATATAGTAATATATAGTAATCATAATAGATGATGATATTCCATGCTCTTCCTAACTATATTGGGCAGTGGCTAGTATAACCCCTCTTGACCATCAACTGCACAGCTGCGATCCGCGCCGTGCCACCTTCATTGCTCATCTTGGCCAGGAGCCCTTCGGCTGATTTCCAGGCCAACGGGGCCAACGGGCCCAACGCTTCCCCACTTGCCATGGCTGAGTTGTACGAAATGGCATTGGTCTCCAAGAACTCCTGAGGAAAATACTGAAAAAAGCACCTGATCCGAAGGGAACTCAAGAAAGAGTTGCAACATGTTGTAACATGTTGTAACATGTTGTAAGCCAGTCCCCCCTAATCGAAGGCTTCTGGTTTTGTATTGGGGGAGATGTTTGTATCCAAGGCTCATCTTTCAGCTGCTTCAGGAGATGCTGACTTTGTGTCCAGTCGCTGCATGTGATGGCAATGCCGTAACTGATGACCTCAGACATGCTGGGGCTGTGCTAAATCACAGAAGCTTGGTGAAAATTATGACAGAAACCTGGGGAATTAGATGCTGTTACCTAAACTGATTGGCAAAGTTTGCGTGGGTTGATCTACTTTGTCTCTAACCCTCTAACCTGCTTCTGGGTGACAGAATTCCGAAGTGACTTCTGTGCAGTGCTTCCAAGGATTTTGAGAACTGCTTTCCAGTGTTCAGCTTTTCCGTAGGCACTGAGGCAAGCATTGCACCTGAGATCGCAGGGTGGAAGTCCCAGGGCTTTGATGAAAAACATCGACGGTTTCTGTTCAAAAGATCATCCCATCAAAACCAGTCAGTCTTACTTTATAAGGGGCTTACTGTTTGGAACTAGTGGCCGTCAAAAGGCTCAAAATAACAACTGGATTGTTTCTGAGTGGAATATGCCAGAATGATTGCATCTTTGATAATCTTTGGTTCATGTCCAAATACCACCCTTCAGTTCGAGTAAATCACCTGTGCCACGGCACGTGACGATGTCAGCTTGAAGTCTTTGTGCTGTGGTGGCCTCAAACCTGGAAAAGTTGTTGCATTCCTGAAGGGGAATCCGAGAAACAAAATTTTGCTGGGGAAAATGATGATCCACTACAGCGGGAATGAGATTTGGAGGGATGTATCACCAGAATAGTCAAAACTGTCCTTGGCAAACGACAGTTCACTACTGGTAATGTCCTGAAAACTGTGGAAACGCGGATAGTATATATTATCCTCCATGTGATTATAACATATGTATATATATATATACATAATTATATACATAATTATACATACAGTGTATATTAATATAATCCTCCATGGGAGTTTTTGGGTCAATACAACAGGGCCCTCTTACTGGTGATTCTCCGAGCAGCAGTGCCACAGCCCTTCGCCATGCCGATCTTCCAGGGCCCTTGGCACACGTAGCGATGCCACTGTTCCATGCTGCCTACAGCGGACTGGATGATGGAGGTCAGTGGAAACAGAAATCCAGCTCCGGGCTCCGTGAAATGATGTGAAGTGCAATTTGAAACCAATGTTCAAGATCGGCAAACTGCATTTGGCGTCCACTGACCCACCAAATACCCAACACCTACTGAAATCACACTGGGGCGACTTGGGTCTGGTGGCTCTGGGAGCCTGAAGCTCCGCTCGGGTGGCATGAACAGCAGCTTGTGCGGGATCCACCTCAATTCCCGTGTTCAATTACAGCATGATCCCTCACATGCAGCACAAATTCTCTTAACCATGACACTATTTGGCAATTCAAACGAATAGTCAACAGTATTCAACGGTCACATGCTGAGTTTTCATGACATCACTACTGACCGGTGTCGGCCGGTCATGGAATGCTTGGATTCCAACGAAACTGTGGAGACCCTGCTGCCATGCCATCGTTCAGAGCTCGAGTGAGACAGGCTGCGGCTGATATGCGGCTGGTTCGACCGATAGCTTCGCACTGTGCCTGAAAGCCTTCACATCTGAAGGTTTGGAGTACCCCAAATCATCCAAAATTTGACCATTTTTGTATTGAAACCCATGGTTTTCGGGTACCCCCATTTTAGAAAACCTCCATCTGAAGTCTTTCATCTGCGATCTGCGATCCAAAGAGGAAAAAAAGGTGAATTTGAGCATGTGTATATATATATAATATATTTAAGCCACATTTAAGCCACATTCCAGGAATGTCTACACTTTTTCAATTTCTTTCTTTTGTTTCATCTGTTCTGATTTTGGCATCTGCATCAAGTAGTCCCCCATCCTGCGGGTATCGGAGATCAAAGCTGGGTACCACCACAGGCACCACCACATCTGCAGCGCATGTCTTGTAATGTGTGATAGCCGTGAAATAAGCAGCGAAAATGGAGGGTGAAACCATATAAAACGGGGTACCATGGGGATACAAGGGGGATACAATGGGCTCTGAGATGGTTTGAGAATCTTGATGAATTTCGAATTGTCTCTGCTCAAAAATTGGTGCAAATTTCACGAAAATGTGCCTGGCTGGTGAAGCAACTTCACAGCGAAGAGCAGGGTGCCAGGTCGATCCCAAGCCTCGCCATGCGCCGATCTACGATTGAAACTCCCTGGATGGAGCCAGAAGTCATGCCTTACCCAGCCTATACCGAATGCCTAACCCCTTCAGCCAGATTCCAGGTCTGCATGAATCGGAGCGTACAGTACTAGTAGCAAGCTCTAACAAGACCGCAGGACTTTGGGAAACAAATGGATGTCGGTTTTCCAGGACACCTGAGATTGTAACCCGACGTGACCCTTAGAAACTCCCACAGTACCTTCTGATGATCTGGAGCCGCCCACACCACAACGCCTGGTTGCCTCCAGTCGTTGGGATGGAACCGGGCAAAGTTCAATGGAGAACTTGATCATCGCAAACACGCTTTCACATCAGAAACAATCTGAAATGGCCTGTCGCATTTTATGATCTTTTTGTTGATGCATCTCTTGCATTGAAGGCTGAAGTTGTAGGCTTCAAATAGTGAAGTTGAGGCACTCATCCAGTGCACTGCGATGTCAAAAACATGTGCCGGGACATAAGTTTGCAACCAACTATTTATATATATATATATTATATTATATAGATATTATATATAGAGAGAGATACAACTATGTTTGATTTTCTTACTGAATTACTTAGATTCCAACAAGACCCGGGGTGGCCAATTGTCACGTGGTCAAGGTGCTTGAACTTCACCATGAAGTAGTTGGAAGTACCAGCCTCCACTCCTTAGGTCATGCGCAGCTCTACGGAAACCCCAAGGAGACGTGCACGATGGACAGCAATGACTGGGTGGAAGAACATTACTATGCCCATGGACCAAGAGATAGATTCATAAACCCTTTTCAAAGGGTGTGCTGTACACCCGAAGGCGGCTGATACTTCAAAACACAATCAGGGACGGTGTGGAAAATCTCCACCAAATCCAAGCTACTTCTGAGCCGCTCCACGATGTTTTGCAAATTGCGGGTGGTTTGTCCCATCACCTCAGGCAGGCTAGCGGTTGTAAGACCGTGCATCTTCTTCCAAAATAGAAACGCGGAGCTTTGCTAATCTTGGGGATGAACGGGTCGGGCACAGGACTATCAGGACTTGAAACATCTCAGTGAATGAACCTTACAGCCCGTGAGTTTATTCAACACTGGCACCCAACAAACTGTCCATTCTTGAATGAAAACTGGAGGGGTCCGGGGCATGTCCGCAGCAGCATCTCCCTAAATTCGCCAAGGAGCTCCTCCACCATGAGTCAGTCGATCAAGGAAGGTCGTTTTGGCCCCGGTCCCCTGCACCTGCATCGCAATCCCCATGTTCATGTTGAGACTTGTGTCATTTGGTTCACTCCACTTGTCCCTTTGGATGTGCTACATCATTGTGAGAAAGGAGCTCTGAAGAGGTACGAAACTTGCAGTGCATGCAGTGCATGCAGTGCATGGCTGATCCCTTGAGTCGCCCCATGTCCCACTGCCCCCACTGTCCCCACTGTCCCCACTGTCCCCACTGTCCCCATTGGCCTGTATTTGCTCTTCATCTTGGTCGACAAGATTCTGCCAAGTGTTGCAGCCACAGTGCTGTGATATCTTCAACTTTTGTGCGACCAGCTGCGGTACTCTCCACTGCACACAATAAAGGTTTGAAGGTCAAACATGGTCAAACAAATACCTCCTCTGATATACTCTGATCATGCAGCATGTTGGCACTGGTGACCACGCACCGCCATCTTTCGTTTTCCTTAACTTCCTTAACTTTAACAACACAGTTTGGGTTTCTGCACCTGAAACCATCCCATCTGGGGGATCATTCGCCTGGCGGCAATCCAACAAGATCTTCCGCATGGGTTCCAAGAAGTTCTTCGGCCTCAGCTGTTCTTTTCTCTGGAGATTCGCCCCATGGTTTGACGGTTTGGCCCAAGGCCTAGCTTCAACCAGCTTGGCACCCAAGCAGGTCCATGCGCAAGCGGCACAAGATGCGCGAGTCGCGATCTTTGCCAATCTGATGACCCACCTGATCCATGCAGATCCAAGTAGATGATGTTACCATCTGGTTATGACTAACATAGCCATGGAAAATCCCTTATTAAATGGGGGGTTTTAATGGGAAAATCATCTATTTCTATGGGCCATTTTCCATGGCTATGTTAAACAACCAGAGGGTAGATGCACTGTGAAAGATGGTGAAAGCATAGGGTACCAGCTCAAGTCCTCCCAATGGAGCTCTTGAACAATGCAAAGAAAGAATGGGCTTTCAGACACTTTGGATATCCTGGATTTGCACCTGTTTTGGTGCTCTCTCGTTGGGCTCCTGAAAAGTATGCCCTTGTTGCGAAACACCTGATGCAACTGCACCTGCACCATGAAGGTATGACGATTCAGGCTCAACTGACCTTGGTTGCAGGGTTGGGTAGAGTCGTGCCAGCCTGGCTTTTGGGTTCTGGTTGGGTAGAATGGAGATATTAGTCAATGGACACCAATGCAGCGCAGTCAAGCACGAGCTCAAGAAACCTTGCTTTTTAAGCTCGTGAAGCTCGAATTCAGAAAGGTATTCGGAACAATCGGGGACTTTTTGACATGCAGTATCTTCAACAACATACAAAGTCATACAACACCGTCCAAAAGAAAAATGTGTCCTGTTTCACTACTGCAAATCCTTCAAGTGGCTGTCGGTGAAGAAGTTCAGCACAGATCTGCTCGGCGCAGGCACCTGTCCAACGGGGGACCAAACTGTCTGTACAGAAATGATGCCGGAAAAAGAGAGGCAGCGGAAAAGCATAGTATCTAACACAGAGATCAACAGAGGTTGTTGGATGTTGTTGAAGTTCAATCCCAATCACTTGACGTGATCACATGAATATCACATGTGATCACTACATGTCCCCCTCAGGTCACCAGCTCAGGAGCTGCAAGATGTGTGGAGAAGCCTTGGCATCGGAGGTTTTTCCGGACTCTTTTGGGACTCACAATGCAGACATCACCTGGGAATCTTGAAATATCTTGAAATGTTACTGCCGAAATCTGCACATTTGGCATGTTGGCATTGGAAGTCAACTCCGCCGGATCATTAGTTGCGTTGCTAGGTTGGAGTGAGATGCTTTGAGTGTTACTAGTTGACCTGCCAGTTTCCCAAAAATCCCAAACCATTCCCTCTGAGCTTGCCCGACGCCAACCCACTTTACGCAGCTTTCGGTGGAGCTGCGTGGTGGACATGGTCTGCAGGTCCTGTTTCCTGGGCTCAACATGAGGCCGACTCCTTCCCAAGGACGATCTCAGTGAAAGCTTATCGTCCCACCCTGATGGTGCTGGGTGTTGGAACTTGATCCCCGCAAAAGACGCCTCGGTGGCTGCATGGTGGCTGCAAGGATGGCGATCTGTGCAAAGATCCCAACAGCCCAACTTTCCAAGTGTCTCAAAGAGAGCAGTAACAATAGTAACAGTTCAAGAGTTTCATTCAGGCAAAGACTTCCAAAGTCTGAAAATGCTCCACTCGGAAAGTTCGTCCCCCCCTGAGATTGGCGCCACTTTCGGAATTTGAAAGAACTTTTCCTCAGACCAAGGGCAGGCATCGCAGGCAAGATTCGCCGGCAAGAAAAAACCGGTGAGCCTGTTGCATCCTGTTGCCTAGCTGAATGCAAACTGTGAACCACACCCTGCTTCCCAAGAGAGGCTTCCCAAGGGAAGCTCATCACCCCCCTGCTGCCGAGCTTCAAAAAGCTTCGCAGGACCCAAGGGCTGCGAGGGCCGCGGCAAGCTGTGATTGATCTGCAGGGAGCTGGTGATGGTACACTCTTTGTCACGTGACGTGAAGGATTAAGACACAGCACAGAAACCTTACTGCTCCTGGAATGTGAATGACTTTGAGCGTTCATTCTGACGTATTCCAAGCTCTCCAACAGTTCAGAAATGCCAAGTCAGCTGGTCTTCCCACGGATTGGAAAAGTCCACCACCCCACAGACGTCCCCAGTCCCACCGAGTTCTCTTTCGCATCCATCCAGGCCAAAATTTTGCCTTCAAGTGAAGGGAAGGTTGGCAACTTTTGGAAAATCTGAAGAACCTGCGTTATGTGGTTTCATATCGCTCGAAACAAGTGCTCAACCTACCAGTATCTACAGCTCCCATCTCCGTCCTTTTCAGGACCCTCATAAGTGCAATTTCCAGAGCAGAATGTGCATTTTGTGCAGTTGTGTCTGTCAGGGCGGAACACCCGTAACAAATAACTACTATATTAATAATATGACAATATACGATGCCAAAGATTTCTCCAGCTTTCCGATTTGGGCAGCGGGGTGAGCCTATGAGGCGGTCCGCATCCTCTGCAATGCAGTGGTCCGGGATGTGAGGCAGTTCCTCTAAGTGTGGCTCCTGGCGAGCGGTTGACTGCTGCAAAGCCCAACAGGTCATGAGACCCAGATGGATGATGAATTCGCATCTTGTGAGCCTTGCTTTAACATCTTGAACCGGCTGTCTAAAGGGATACACTTCATGTTTCTTCCTGAAAGATCGGCCCGGTCCTTGTCATATCCAGGACCACAGCAGAGCCGCGGCCAGAAACGTTCCTGACAGCCCAAAAAGGGTCAGGGAGGGACATCAGGGACATCAACTGGGCATCGTGACGTCAGGAGCCCAGACGATCCCAGACGGTCACGTTTTGCAATGTCAGTAGGATTCTTGGAGATGTGGTCGACGAATTTTCGAAACAGAGCTGGACATTGTGACATCAAGATATGTTCAAGATATGTTCAAGCAGTTCTTCAAGCCACGCCAAACCCTGCGGATCTTTGGTTCAATTGTTTGAAACCCATTGCGGCCAAGACTCGTCAAAGGCTTCGTTGAGGCGACGGCTATCTCCTGCCCTTGGTGCATCTGTGTTCATGGAAACCAATCGTCCACCCTATTGACAGTTTCATAGGAATGATAAGGATTGGATGACGCGGGAACCATGCTGTCTTATCTGCTGAACTTGATTCAAGGCAGAACTTCGTCTGATCAGAATGATGTTCAATAGGAGGGGTGAATGTGGGACCAAGTATTGTTCAGCTGGCCCAAAAGAAGTGTCCGCATCTTGGAGGGGTAAATTAGGGTAAATTGGATGAAATGTTGCAAAACAACCTGGCCGTACCTCCAACCGTTATTTGCAAAGACATTGACATGGAAAGCCTAGAGTCTCTCATAGTCTCTCCATTGACATTCAGCAGGACATGGGATGAAATGGGATGTGAGACCGAACTCAGCATAGCTGGCATAGCTCAATTAGCTCAGCTACCACTGCCTCAACATGCTTCAACTGTCTGTCACCCTTGCCATGGGGACCCTGCACCCAATCAAAGATGTTGAAGAACTGAATCACCGATCCCTCAGTCAACGTCCAAGGCTTGAACAGTTGTGAATCTGTGAAGGAGTGCACAAGAATTTCAGTTTGTGGCCCTGCAAAGAGCAGTCCTGATCAAGTCCTACTCGTCTTACTCCAGTTTTGTGGTGACTTAAGTTGAGCTGCATCGTCAGCATCATCTTCTTTGTCTCGATTTGGGCAAACCTTGAAAAGGCAGTTGTCCTGCGAGCGCAATAGTTCCATCAATAGTTATATACATTTAAACATAATGTATATATATATAATATATATATATTTATTTAATATATATATATATTTATTTAATATATATATATATATATTTATTTAATATATATATATATATTATCATACACATATATCATGATGTATCATGTATACATTATCATACATTTGTATACAAACTTCAAAGCTGTTTCTGTTTCGGTGATGCGACATATCCATGCTCCTGTAGTGTGCGCGAGATGAAAACGTTGTCGTCAAAGTCCACGAAGCCACTGTGACTCGCAAAGACCTTGGTGCTTGGAACTTGGGAATTTGGGGAATTTGGGGAATTTGGAGTGCTGTCACGATGTCACGACATGTTCAAGTTTTCAGTGCTTGCCAGCAGCAAATTTAGGTAAGTCTCTCTCTCTCTCTCTCACTCTCTCCATTCGAACAAGAGAGCATCGTACCATGATCTTGACTTTGTGTCACTGCGATTAGGATTGCTGTCGCAGAAATTGTCGTCCAGGTGCAACGGGAATTTGGAACTGAAATAAAAATGAAACTTCACAATATACACTGTAACTGTAACCTCAACGTCCTTAACAACCTTTGAAAGATTTTGAAAGCCACCGACCCGCTGTGACAAACCGCTTGGCTTAAGGATCCCCACATCCACAATGGAATCATAGGCTTCGTCCATGTACTGGGCAGGTGCTGGGGTGAATGGCCAATCTGCCCAGCAAATCCCAGCAATATCCAACAATGCACCTTGATACCACGAAGCGGTTGAATGGCTCCTGTCCTACGGTGGAGCTGCAGAGTTCTGAAAGTTGACATGTTCGCAGGGAGAGCTACAATGGGTCAAACATGTCAGACAATTTTAGTGTGAGGATGGTTTGATGAGCCCAATAGCTAGACAAAAGCGAGCAAAAGGGTCAATTCACGTTAAGGTCACAAATCCTCTGAATCCACGATGCATTGATCTGCTGCGGAACAGTCCTCACTTCTCCTTTGCTCTTGCAACTCCATTGATGAAGCTCCTCACTATGGAAATCGATGGAACTTCCACCAAACATTTTGAAATTTGACCTGGACCCAAGGCTCAGGCTCTGTGCACCCCAAAAAGAGGATTGACCACACGGCCCTGTCATGGTATCCCACATGGGATTGACCACACGGCTTTCTCCCAGCGTCCTGCGGCAGCTGAGCCAATTCCTCATGGCAGATCTGCATCCAACTGGAGGACCTGGGTACTGAATGGTACTGATCCAGCCCATGTACTGCAGCTGAAGGCTGAACTGAGGCGTCCCACTGTACCAAGCTGGTTCAGGCCCACCTGAGGCCCGTCTCACTGCGAGTTTTATGACTGTTTGGTACAGCATTATGAATCGCAGATGAAGATTTATCAGGCCCGCTCCACAAGACGTCCACCAGTAAAAAATTGCGGCGATGCAATCCCCAGTCAATTCCTAACCATCATCCTTGGCATTGGTCTTCACGATCCAAAAAAAGTTGTCTTTACTCAGGAATTCATCAACTTCCGTGGGCAAAACGAATCTCCACAATGCCATGCCAAAGGCACTCCAGGAAGGAAGCCAGTGAGTGTTTGGATGATTTGAATTGACCACAGAATGCATGTCCTATTGCACTAAGGAACTGCTTTTGTTAGCCTTAGCCTTAGCGTGCAAAGTCGAATATAATGTCTTAAACACATTGCCACGTGACCGTCACATGCATCACTTCCAAACCGGCGCCCATCCCCAACGACAAGGCAAAGGCACCGTCAAAGTGCCGTGGTCGGCGCCAGTGGCCGGGTTCTTCAGCTGGATGGTGAGCGAGGGCAAAAGCACGAAAGGATCCTCCTGTCACAGCATCTCTCAGGCTGAAGCCGGGTTGATGGATTAAAAATAATAAGATGTTTACGACATCATATGAAAATATATATATATATGAAAATACTGCGTGGATTAGTGGCCGGTCCATTCCACCCACCACAAAATCTGATGCCTCTCCCACTCAATATGTTTCGCGCCTCATGCCAGGTGCCCGAATAAAATTTTGACCTGAAGCACGTTCCATCGCATGTGCAAGTTTGTGAGATCATGCTTTGTGCGTTTTGCATGGGCAATTTGGATGCTACTAAGATACAGCAAAAAGACTCCAGATGCACCAAGATGCACCAAGCCAATCTCTCCAGTTGTTCTACCAATTGGATTCCGCCCTTATGCTGAAGCCTCTTCCAGGTTTCAGACGGACGGGCCATATCTTTTAGGTCAGCAACTCTTAGCAAAGGCCTCTCAGCAATGCCAACCACGGTGGCTGTCAATCCACAACTGCCTGTTTCCCACGGCCAAACAATTGGCATCGCCCCAACCTCAACCAAAAAAACGGCTGATGACCAGCCCTTGGGTCACCATGGGGCCCTCACATGGCCGCGCCGAAGCTGGTGACTTGACCAGACCACTCGGTGTCCTCCAGGGTGAACCTGCAGACATGACTTGTCTAGTGCAAGTGTCACCTGGTTGGTGGTATACCCCTCTGAAAAATATGAGCTGGGATGATAATTCCCAATACTAGTATATGGAAAAAATTGGAAAAATAACATTCATGTTCCAAACCACCAACCAGCCACTTACCCAAGGGAGTTCAGGGCTGCCCTGGCACCTGAGAATCTGCTTGCTGCTGTTGAAATGACCTGCGGCCGGTGGCTTGGCCTAAGCGACCTTCCAGATCTACAAAGAAAAGCTGACCATGGAGATTGACCATGATATATGGTATATTATGGTATATTATGGTATATTATGGTATATTATGGTATATTATGGTATATTATGGTACATTATGGTATATGATATACCATGATCATTCATGATCATTCTATGAAAATGTCTGGAACCTGGCAGAACCTGGAAACCGAAGGCGCCAAAAGCCTCACCAAATGTCAGGTTTCGACGTTTCGACGGCAAAACTCTGCACCTGGATGGCGAACTTCTTCCAACCTTCGTACACGGTCAACTGGAACACGTGAATGGCAATGGCTGGATGGATTTCAACAACACTCAAAATCAAGCTAAGGACATCCTGAAGTCGCTGCCAAAGAAATGTTGCTGAATTGCTGAAATATGCTGAAATGAGATAGCTCCAAATTCCGAAGGACCATGCAACATAATGAAGGTGCGAGATGCTTCGAGATCTTTGACGTGGGCTTCGGCCCTGATCCTCTGGGGACTCGGGCTGTCCATTGGCAAATTTCTGGACCTCCACCGTCTGAGTCCCTTCATATCGTACCTCAGCTGCACAGCCAGCCTCAGCTGGTTATCACAGTTATCACCTGTGGAGCAGATATTTCTGGGTGAAAAGACTTCAAGTTCAGGCCCCTGCCAATATGTCAAACTGCTGCCTCAGGTTTGGTCTTCCAGCTGGCCGAGAAGGTTGCATTTTCGGCTTAAGGCTGCGAGGGTTTGCAGAGTAATGTATATGTCTGACCCCTGACCAGCTGCTTTAGATTTTTGACAATTGGGTTATTGGCATCAAACATTGGCATCACACATAGCCTTAACTGCCGAGATCTCCTGACTCCTGACCACGACGGCGCTGGGTGCATCGGGCTCTGTGTCCATCTCGTGCAGACTCCAACGTCCAGGCTTCAGCTTGTCCTCACCGAGGCAGGTCAGGGACAAGGACCCTGAAATACTTTGTGTTTTAGTTGTTGACACAGCTGAGGCATGGGACAACATCGCTGGCTTTCGGATCATCATCATCATCATCATCATCATCATCATGATCATCATGACGATGATCACAAGGAGGCCAGTATTCCCAATTTCGGGCGAGGCAAGTTTGCCGTGATTCGTTTCAAACTGCCTCGACCCAGTAGTGTTTGGTCTTGGCACTCTTGTGAGCTTTTTTGTAAGTCAGGCAAACCCTGTTGCTTGGCTATCCCATGCACTTTTTGATAAATAACCCTACTCGTTTCATCATGGTCTGATGACGGGCAGACATGTCAATCTATCAATCTATTGGTTTCAAACTGCCTCAAGGGAACTCTGTTTGCCACCTGAAAAGACATAAAAGGCATTCTGCTAAGGTATGCTGAGGTTGTCCATGTTCTTCTTCGGGTGTAACGAAAAAGCCCCTGGTCCAAGTCTGTCAGTACAAATGGCTTCGGGGCCCAACAAGGCCAAACAAAACGCAAAAATTGATCCAGCCCAACCAAAGTCAACCTGGAATCTATACACATTATACACACACAATCACGCCATCGCTGCTATGATTGGTGGTTGATCACCAAGACCCCGACATCCAACTCAGCTCCTGTTGCAAGTAGGGAATTACTGGCACCTCATAGACCGGAGGTTGGATCTTCAGTCCTGTCAAGTCCTGACACGTGCAAGCGGAAAGGGCGGTCGTTCAAAGCCGCTTTTTCCAAGTCAAAGATCTTGTCAGCTTGTCCTTCAACTTCAAAGTCCAAAGTGTTGACGTTGCATCCTCGCCACGCGGGCAAGGAAACAATACTTTGAATCACATGATTGGCCAAACCATTTGGTGTTTTTGAGCTGACTTATCGTTTAGTATTGAAAAGTGTCGATGTGGAACTTCCATGTGCTGGAATAAAACCATGACGCATCAGCATTGGTTTGTTCAAATTTCCAGATACTTCATGGGTGCGATGGAAGTGGCGCCCTGGAGGACTGGATCAATGGATATCAATGGATCCATTTTCACGTCATTTTCAGACCAACTGTTGCGGTGGACCCCTAGAGCGCCCTAGAGGCCCTAGATCCTCAAGGCCTTGGAACGGTCGGATACCGCTAGCGGTGCCTGCGTGTGCAACGGCGTTTGCTCATCATCGATCCGGAGCAACGGCTTCCACTGGGCCAACTTTTCTTGCCAGCCTCAGCGAAGCAGCTGAATCCCGCCAAAGCCAACAGCCACTATCAGCCACTTAAGTGCCCAGCCTTCACAGGAATCCTCAACCATGAAGTTGAAGTTTTGACTCCTCACATGGTCATGGTCCAATGCCCAACTGGGCTATAAGGTCTTGCTGATTCAACGAGGCAAAGGTAGAGTCAGTAGGCGAAAGAGATCACCGGACTTGAGAGCAACTCACAAGAGATGATAGCTCGCAACTGGACAAAAATCCACATCTCCATTCAACAAGGCCTTCAACATCCTTCAACATCCATCGATTCGGAGGAGTACCCTCCGTACCCGCAAACTCACATTCTTCTGCTTTCTGCTAAGGTATACTACTGTACTAAGAGACTGCAGAACAGAAAGTCTGGCTTGCGACAGAAAGAGGCCAGTACAACCACGAACCAGGAGCTTGGTTGCCCAAACAATTCTACAATATCCCTATTATGTCCCCATGATCATCCCCACTATCTATCCCATGTTTGATGGTCAAATCCCCATAAATCACCAAGGCTCAAGAGGCTACCGATGTGCAGTTCGATGGCGCCACCTTCCCAGAAAGAGCTCACCTCGGAACACCCGATGGAGAATTCCACAGGGAAACAGTTTCTGAATCCTCCAGACATGACCAGGACATAGACCATGATAGACCTAGATTAACATAGATAGACTATGTATGACTACGTAGAGCGTCCGCATCTTTTGGACCAATCTGGGCAATGTAATCCAATGAAACAACCGATCCAACTTGCATCAAACAACCAGGCATACCAGGCTGCGGACGTAAAGTTTGCAGTCCACCAAAGTCTGTGGTAGGTTCCGCAGCCCCAACAAGCAGAAATCGATTTTGAAGCTGGAACCTGGGGCTCCATATGCACCAACTTTGACGAGTCGGATCCAGGCTCACAGCATACCGTGGACCAAAGCCTCCTCCTAAAATCTGCTAAACACCATAACAGATCACAACAGTTGCTTCTTATGGATCTTCTTCCCTTCTTTTTTGTATGCGAAAATCATAGGTTTTCTCATAAATTCAAACAAATTTCCAACAACTCCGGGGTATGGATCAAAATTCAAGGCCCGGGGACACAAGTTTTGGTCGTGTGAATTTCCGGACTATCCATCCTTGGGGGGTTCATGTTCTTGATGCTTGAATCATATCAAATTCTTCATTTTTCTTGCACCAGGTTGGACCCTGCTGGACCATGTTGGACAGTTTGAAACATAGAAACTTCCATGGTCCAGAAAAATGAAGAAACTGAAGTCCTCCAGAAAACTGCAGAAAACTGATGGAATTCCCATGGTCTGTTCCCCCGGGCTGCCGGGCTTTGATGCGTCTGCAGCTGATGGATGGTGATCCCAGCTCCGTTCTTGGCCAAGTTCTGGCCTTGCGTGAGACCTCCAAGGACATTGGCCTGGCGTATCGCTGCCAACTGGAAGTAAACACTGCTTGAAATCTCTTGAAATCTCCTTTCTTTAATTGTGTATGATTAGTAATGATTTGTACAATGATGTGTACCAATCTGAAGAACCTGCCTATTGCCACAAAAGCAAAAGTTGCAACCTACGTCCATCTTCATCCATCTTCCACCAAAGCAGCAGCCTGTGCCCTTATGAGACCCCACGTCTTCAACACCAACCATTCAACGCATCATTGTATATTATATATATATATATATTATATTATATTGTATTATATTATATTATATTATATTATATTATATTGTATTGTATTATATTATATTATATTATATTATATTGTATTATATTATATTATAATTATATTATATTATAATTATATTATATTATATTATATTATATATATATTATATATTATATATATATTATATATAATTTAATATTATATTATATATAATTTAATATTATATTATATATATATCAAATTATGGATTTGAAGTTATATCATCTATGTATACATTATACTCCATACATCCATACTCCATGTATCACTACTCTGCAAGGACATCCTCAATCGGCCTGGAAGGAATAGTTGGCCGCAGCCAAAACTCGCGGCCTGCGCCCCAAACTTGGTTGGAACGTCATAGATGAGGTGAACTGTCCCAACTCACAGATCATGTATATATATATATAGATACAGAGAGAGAGAGAGAACAAAAAAATGTTTGCAGAGGGAGGGAGATTCATGGATTCACCCAGGATTTCTGGAGGTGCCAAGAATCCTGCTTGAATAGGCCAAGGTGGGCTTATCATAGAATGAGAAGCTCATCTGACTGGTTGTTAGACCCTACAGTATGTTACAGTACTCCAAAGGTGCCAAGAGAATGTTCAGAATAAGTTCAGAATCCTGGGTGGATTGAACGAACTCCAAAAGACCAAAAGACAGCCACGGTGTTGGTTCCCGTCCCGGTGCCTCTTCTGCCATGAGTCCTCCTCTCCCCCTGTGGACGTGTCGAAGGGTGCCTTCCAAGCTCGGGCACTCCAGCTTTCCCCCAAGCAACGAAGAAGCTACCTATATGATCCTATATCCGTGATATATCCCGTTAAGTGATGTCAATCCCATAAAAAGCATGAAAGTCCCCATAAAATTGTTGGCTTCATACTCAGTCATACCCGCATCACGCTATGCTTTTCTTCTTGTAGACCTGTTTCCCAATACCAGGCCTGGGCAGCCTTGTCCAGCGCGTACCACTTCGCCACATGGTGCCTGCAGGATTAAGGTCAGACCTTCCTCCCAAGTGATAGTTAGATACTAGAATGGTACCGATCAAACAGAAATGTCTAAGGGTTTATGAATCCATCGTCGACATTATCCTAGATCCTACTGGATCCTGCCTGTTGAGATCGAGTTCTGCAGGCATTTTCGAAGCAAAGAGCGAACCTTGATCGCCCAGGACATAGTCCTGCGATGGGAATGGACTGAATAGCCTAGACTCCCAGACCCTTTGGGGAATGCTCTTCGACCCTGTCTGGGACATCCATCTCCATATCTCTGTGGTGAACCGCGTGATCATTGAGATTTCCTTTGGTTGCACGATGTGCAGCAAAGCTGGAGCACTGCTAGCACTGCTCATGCTGCTAATTCACTCCTCTTCATGCAAGTAGCCCAAGAGTGGATACACTTCCACACGTTGCTCGCCATTGCGACCAACACAGTGAGTCCTGCATATCATGGTCCATGGTAGTAAAGTGTGACTACCTCACAGCACTTTTGTCTTCTAAAGAACTCCACTGGGGGTGAAGTTGAATATACCAATCAAACAACCATCAAACCCCACGAGTTGTGCAAAAATGGCTTGCCCTGCACCCGCTTTAGAGACAATTCCCATTTTGAGACCCCAGTTTTGGACGCCCAAATCACAAATGGATGACAAATCAATATAATCAATGTCATCCAATCCCTTCATGATTCTTCATGTAAAATGATCATCAAACTGTCATACCCTCTGGTAAACTAACATAACTATGGAGACTCACAATTTTTAATGGGAAAATCCACTATTTCTATGGTCATTTTCAATAGCTATGTAACAAATTACCAGAGGGTAATGTGCTAAAAATGGGTGGCTTCACATTTTTCCAATGACTTGATCCACTTGATCCCTGCCTGGCGGCCGAAGGCTTGATGACCATACGGCCCACCTCCTCAAAGGTGTCACCGGCATCAACGCCCAAGACCTTCCTGGAACCGGCCGTGGAACCGGCCGTGGATGTCATGGCTGGAAAATCCCCCATCGGTTTTATCATGGTTTATCCACTTTACCATCTTTTACCAGCAGGAAATGGCAGGAAAATGGCAGAAAGCTGAAACTTCATGCATTGTTTCTAGATGTTATCAGCTGCGTTCTCAACACCATCGGAAATTTGATAAAGCATTTGTAGTGGACACGTGGTATGTTTCTAAATTTTCTAACACCAAAGCACCAGATTTCCCTCGCGATGTTCTTACCGACTGCCTCTCATCACGATCCAAAATCTTCACAATGATCGGCGGGAAGGGGATTGTAGAGGCCATCTGGGTACGAGTTTTTGTCAGCTTGAGAACTCATCCATGATCCATGATCACTCATAATCTAAGCGATGTTAAGGTCAAGAATGTTGAAGCCTAAAAGGGCATGCATCGGAATGGCTTCCTAGAGATCGATCTGTCACGCCAACTCCGGATGTTGACTTTTGATTCGCAGTCAATATACTTATGAAATCTTATAAATAGGTACCTGGCTAGCATGAATTGAATACATCTCAAGCAGAATATGAGCTGTTTGACCGCAGCATCTCCAAGACCTCCAAGATGACGCCAAGGTGACGCTGAGTATCCACGCCATGGGAAGGCCAACTGTGGGTTCAGCTTCCACCTGACGGGCGCAACGGACCAAACAACTCAGTGGCAGGCTGGAAATGTCGGCCTCCATCTCGATGGGAATGCGGATGCGATGCATAAAGGACGGGCCTGGGATGGGGCCCAAGTCGGCCCAAGAATACAAAAAAGATTCTGTTTTTTTTGCAAGCTGATCACCGCCAGCAAATCATGCCATGTATCTGCGTGAAACTTGACACAAAGTTGCCTATTCACTTGTTGTCTTGGGTTGCATTGCTTTGTGTAGAAGAAAATTGCTGGACACTGCACCAGCAATGTGTGGTTTGCTGCTCGTTGCGGTGCCATTGAAAGTTCTTTTACCACATGGCCTGAGCTGAGCTCCCAAGGTCCCAAGGTCCCAAGGTCCCAACTCAAGGATTTCATGATCCCAGATGGATATAGCAAGGTCTGGCGAGATCTCTGGATCCACTTTCCAGATTGTGACGGGAAATACATCATTGTACAACATATGTGTTCAATATCTGTGGGATTCTATGGGCATCAAAATGCTGGCTCCGAAAAACATCGAAAAACTGTATATACTATACTATTCCACAATGTGGTAGGCTTTGTATCTTGATATCTGTTAGTCTTGTTTGCAGTGAAACCATCAAAATTGGGGCTCAGAATGGTTCTTGATATCTGTTAGTCTTGTTCTGTATGTCAAGAATTGGGGCTCAGAATGGCTCAAACCCAAAGATAAAGTCCTTGAACCCAATCTTTGAACACGGACTGGTATAGGTGGCATGTCGGTATGTCACACGGCTATGGACAATGACTGAAGCATCAAAGATGAATCGCAGGCATCCACAGCTCCTTGCCTGGTCCTTCACCTGGATGCTATAGGAGGGATCCACCAAGCCATCGTCGTCCATGGCGGGAAGCTCCCGCGCCGCCAACAGATCCACGTGGCAGTAGACCTTACGCACTGGAATCCAGGATGGGACTAGTTTAAAACATTTCAAAACAAAATTTAAACAACTGTTTAAACAACTGTTTGTTATGAACCATTTTCTTGGGCAAAGCTTGAAATCGCAAGTTGGGGACAGAAGAAACGTGCAACATCTTGTCCCTAACGTCCTTCGCGTTCTCCTTCGTGCTGGGGATCCCACCGTCTTCCTTCGCTCAGGTCTCTGGACCTCAAAACGAATGTCCTCACCCAAGAAGGCCTGGAAGACCTACCGGAGCAGGGATATTCATCAAATCGCTGCAAGCAGAGAAGCAGAGTTTCGAGAATTTTTGGAGACTTGAAGCTTTGAAAACACGTGGCCCGCCCGTTCTTGCCACCTGCTTCTGGCTAGTACTGCAACCTAGGATGGCAGTCCCGGTTGGTTCATCTCGGAAAAAGTTCTTTGTGGCCACAGCAGACCCACGTGCGCATTGAAGCATTGCTTTGCGTGGATTCTTGAACAAAGCATCTGCATTTAAAAGCACAGGGAAGTAGAGTATTTCTTCCATGATCATTCAAGTTGCTCCACTTGAGTCTATGTGTTCTCTTTTCTGACCCCTTGTAGATTCGTAGATACAGCATGATACAGCATCACCAGTAGTAGTATTGATCATGTGTTTTGCTTAAAATTGGACTTCAGCCCTCAAGTCTTGTTCAAACACGGGGACCCCACAAACTGTGCTACGTGTCATCTTTTACTTTCTGCCATTGGGTTAAACTTTAAACGTTTTTCTTCAACTAGGTTCCCGGCAAACGCCTCGCTGCCTGCCGGCAGGGTCGGCCCCCTCAGATTGATTCTGCAGCTCTTGAAGGCTTCTATGACGTGCCGCCCGAAGAAATGCAGATTTCAATTGATTTCAACATTTTTGAGGAGTGATGATAGTGATGGTGTCACATGGTGTCGCCATCAGGTCAGTTTCAGCGGAGTCTTGACAGGTCGCTCAGCTGGAAACTCCGAGTTCCAAAAGCCCCAGCTCGGTCTCGACACTTTCCGCCTAAGCTGGGCCGGTCTTTATCGCAGCCCGTCATCGATTGCTTTCGGAGAGATGTTCAGGCCAATCAATCTGGCTGAGTTGCAACAATAATTCACCAACCTGAAATGTTTGACAATTTTTGGTACAGTTGTAGTTATCCCCTACCAGTGGCGTCGCAGTGAGATCGTCGAAATTCATCCAGAATCCATGTCAATGCAAACCTAAGAATGCAAGGCCAGACTTCAAGCTGGCGAGGTTTTTTTCTACCTGTTGCGAACAAATGATTGGGATTGATTGGGTAACTAGTTTCATGCTCTCAACCATTATTTGGTCTGTTGGCATAGGCTAGTTGTGACCAGTGCATCGATTGCAACCAGCTGTCACGATGCCCCTCTGATTGAGACTCCGCGCTCTTTCTTGCCTGCAGGAGACGGCACAGAAGATCCAGGAAAGGACCCATGGTCTAGCATGGTCTAGCAAAAGGACTAAGGAGCACTCCAAATCGACCCATCCCAGCCCACCAACAGCCCAACAGCCTGTGTGCGGCATCAAACTTGCAGAACCCAAAATGAAGCCCGCAAGATTCGACTTGTAGTATGCCTGCTCGGGGCATAGGATGACAGCGTGACGGTCTGGTGGTTTGGCGGTTTAAATGTTAAAGGCTGACAGGCTGAGAGTTGTCGTTTCACAACCGCCCAACTGTGCAGTTGATCCAGTTGATCCAAGAGTCCCAACCTTGGGCAGGGCAACCACAGAAGTGTCGAAGTGCAGCTGCTTCCATTTTGGCCCCACCTGGTTGCAGTGAAAGTCGACCCTCGAGGACTCGAGGCCCTTGCTGTGCCATCGCCTTGTCCAGGGGTTTCTGCACCAGGCGCAAGCGACCAAAGGCCTGAGGCCTGGGAAATATGAAGCGCTGCCCAAGATACTCAGTAAATGACATAGGATTTGTTCATGGAAATTATATGGAAAATTGTGGTAAATAATGTAAATACATATAAATACATATAAATACATATAAATATTCGTAAATTCCAATTGTGTAGGCCGCAATCGTGAAATGATCGGAGTCCAATTTCTGGCGCAGATCTCACCCATCGGATGAATTTCGGATCCATCGGATCCATCCCGGGGATCCGTGCGGCTCTAACTCCTGACCCACAGCGACGATGTAGAAATCTGCAAACCTCGGGCTCCCAAAACGATGGAAGTCGACAGTCAATGAAGTTCCCCAAGAAATCATAGAATCGTGGACTTTCTGGTCGGATATCTTGGAAGTCATGAGATACAGGCTTGGAGAACTAGCATGAACTAGCAAGGCAAGGTGACTTCAGACTTAACGAATGGAATAGCAGGTCTCAACATGCATGTTGGCACTAAACATGAGCCAAGAGGGTTTGAGTCGGGAACCCCCTCCATGCCAAGGGACTGTGTGTTGGGAGAAACTTCCAATGGCCAATCGGAGGGCGTTGCACGCTCCACCCACAAAACCCGCTGAGAATTCTCAGTGAAGTGTAAGATGCCTGCAGCATCCACCTTCCACAGTTGTTCATCAGTGTCGTTCTAGTGGTGGGTGAGTCATAGTCCACCCAAGGAAAAGAACTGTTTTCCTCCAATATACTCCCAAAAAAAAAAGGTCATTGGATTGTTCATTGATTTTTTGAATCCATAAATGAAATTCACTGGGAATTGCTAGATTTCTACGTGTTTGTTCAGTAAGGATTCTCTAGATCAGAGTCTCGGAGATCGCCGATCAAGCAACAAACCAAGAGGTGTCCAAGAGTTTTGGTGCTCGGATGTATCAAGACACAGACTCTGAGAGACAAAAGAAAACATTAAAAAAATGTGTGGTGACTGCTGTCCGGACCTTGTGAATGGAGCAGGAGATGATGGTGATGGTGATGGAGGATGACAAGGATCACACGACTCTTTTTCTGGCGAACCTCCCCAGGAAAGCTCAGGAGATTCGTATTGAAGTGCTCTGGTGCTGGATCATTCTCCAGCAATGCCTGGCTGTGGCAGCTGCGGCAGCTGTGGCAAAAAGGGGTCATGTTTATACATACCTGAACCTTGCAGCTCCCTGGAGGCAACTAAAACTTCATGAGACACATCAAAGCTCGCATTTGCCGCAAGCTTCACAAATCAGGGACACAAATCAGGGACATTTCATACGCAAAAGATGCCAAACCCTGTCTCTGCTATCCTCACGTCTGTTGCTAGACATGTTCTGCCCGCTTGAAGGTTCCAACACTTTTTGCACTCTGCTTTTTCAGCGGGAAAAGCGTCTGATGGTCTCATAGACTTAATCATCGCGTCTTCGATCGCGATCGTCCGGATGCTTAAACACGCAATCCCGTCGCTTGCAGTCTGCACCATATCTGCAAGGCTTCCGCTGGAGAGTATCCTTAGACAAACTCCCTTCTCTCTCATCTGGCGACATCTGGGGTCTGGGCCAAATCTTCCGCAACTGTGGTAACCACACCTCTACCTTGCCATACCTGGCCTCTGCTTCTGCCAAATCCTACAGATAAAGACACTCTTAGCTACAAATGAGTCCCCGTTTACTTGCTGATTTGGAAAGTTGTACATTTTCGTTTTTTCATCTCAAACAACAAATTTGTAGAAAATATATGAAAAATATAGAAATTGACACCAAGTCCAAGGGTGTCAACCCATTTTCTTTTCCAAGCTTCATAGATGGAATCCAAATCATCAGTTGGATGCCTATCTCGACAGGTATCACCTCGTCGACACCTACCTTGGACGTAGGGAATGCATAGCTGGCCTTCGCCTTTGCCATCTCCTTTTCCTCGGGACGATTCGAAAAGATGGACATTTCTATGGTGTTTAGAAAATTCTGGTGTGAAATCAATGGATAGGGCTATTTCATGCTATTTCATGCTATTTCTAGGGGTATTGTTAGTATAATCAATCATCAATGGATATTCATGGTTGGTAATAATGGGTATCAGCCCACCAGAAAATTGGGATAGCAAATGAGAGCACATACGGGGTGATACTGAGAATTGATCACGAATCAGTATGATCACAAGCATCACAAATCAAATATTGTAGCAGCTCAATAGCAACAACAATCACAACCACAATATCATCTTGGATGAAACGGATCATTGAAAAAACTGGTTTCATGTCTCCTGTAGTGTCGATCAATATATCCGTACATCTGCTGCAAAAGCTACCCTTGGCTCAAAAACAATTCAGACCATCAGGGGTCCTGAAACATGGCAAACTCAATTTCCTCAACACAATTTTTGCAGTTACGGAAAAACATCTAAAAACCACTCAAAATCTTTAGCACCCTGTCGTCTTTTCTCGGTTATTCCCACCATCATGAATGAGATTCGAAATCATAGGATATAATACTTTTAATATATATAGTATGATTTTATAATATACATATAATTATGTATATATATCTATATATATATGCATATATTATCCTCCCCCTAGGGGTCATGTCGTGCTTCGGTATCTGCTTCGACTGCGGTGGCTCGAGGACCTCCTGGAGCGACTCCGGCGCCGGTCGCGGCGCTGCTCACGGCGGCTGCGCTCCCGAGAGCTGTGCCGACTTCGATCCTTGCGACCTGAAAACATGGGGATTCTATGGGATATCAATGGGATAATCTAGGGATAATTATATGGAAATATATTTTAATATATATATATATACATATCTGATATGCCCATAATATTGATTCATATGTTATCATGGCATTATTATGGAATGTTTGGGCCATATGTATAATATGGTGATGTATGGTGTAATTGATGGTTTGTAACAATGGATATCAACCCACCAGAAATTGAGATTGCACATGATAGCAATGAATAACCATCGTACAGTAACGGGGAACCTAAGAAACATTCAAAGAGACTTTTGGAATGGTATGGCACGGTTGTATTTTTACAGCATTTGCAAACTACCACAAGAACAATCTGTGTCTCATGATCTCCCGATCCAACCTCTCCCCTTGGAACTGCTCGAGGACTTCCCTCGGCTTTTGGATTTGCGCTCTTCCTTCCTTGGCGTCACACAGGCAGAAGGAAGCCCCTGAGAGTCTGGAGCACACAACTGGAAGCCAACCATCGCCGCCCTTGGTGGGTCATTGCCCATTGCCCGTTTCTATATGGAGGTTTCCTAAGAATGGTGATACCCCAAATCATCCATTAATAGATGGATTTTCCATGAAATTAACCCTCCAGCTATTGGGGTATCCATGTTAGAAAACCTTCATATAGAACTCCTGCAGAATCGGAGCATCTTGGGAAGTTCTCGCTCAGGACTCATCGCACCATTGGCACGGCTGCCGTGGCTCCCACTGCGGGACCTGCTCTTTGCCTTGGCCTGCCTGGAAGGCGGGACCAAGTCTTTGGGACCCCAATGGTTCCAATAAAAGGTGGTTGATAAGTGGATCATGAAGATGATGGCTACCAATTATTTAAGGTTCATTGATCACCAATTATTGGATCTCATTGGTAGTTGTTGGTGGTTAATGAATCCTTAATAATTTCTTGTGTTTTGGGGGGTTAGCGGTTCAGGGGGTGGCTGAACTGTGTCCCCATAATTTTGAGGACATGAGGATAATATAATAGTATACATATATGTATGTACATATATATATATTATTATATATATATATTATAATATATATATGTATAATCCTGATAACAATTCTCTTCCACTTTAGCCAATGGGTTCCCAACCTACATTTCGCAGAATCTCCCTTGCCGACCAATCGCTGACCGTTTGAGGACTAGTTTGAGCAGCCTTTACATTGAGCCGTGGCAGAGTTTGACAAATTCTTATCTAGAGATGGCTACTCCCGGTTTTTCAGCTGGGATAGCATCAGGTTCGGACATCCATTTGAAATTATTTCTGCCCAGCAGCACTTGCGACTTCTTAACCTTCTCGTCGCCACTTCCGCTTGAGGCGGACCTATGGACGCACAGCAAAGCTTGGACCTATTCGTCAAACAAAGAACTCACTTCAACGGCAAGAACGGACTCCAAGCAGTATCAATGCATCTCAATATTCCCAGGAAAGCATGTAGATGATTGTAGATACAACTCCCGGGCCTTTGTTTCTTCTTTTCCTTTTCATCCGCTTTTCCCTTCTGTACCTTTTCCTCCAACTCTTCCACTTCTTCCTTTAGATCTCGATTCCTTGGTAGGACGAACTAAGACTGACACTGGAAACTGCCAAGTTGTATTTCCGCAATGTTGCAAGACTAGTAATAAGAACTTTGAGAACATGTCACAGCAGTCTCTTCAATTCCTTCAGCGAAAATGTTGAGTGAAGCACACAGGGAAAACAGAATGGAGGGAGGAGCCCAAAGGGCAAGCTCTATATTGAAAAAAAAAACTGCGATCATGGATGCAGTTGCTGCAATTGTTGATCCCTGGTCGACCAGCCTTCAAGGACAATCCCCTACTTTCTCCATGCACAGCGTGATAAAATTGGCTCATGTGAATCGATGAAGAACAATCAACATGGCCATTCTTGGCCATCCTTGCAGGATTGCCGAGCCAAGTCTATCCTCAGGCTTTACTTCGTGGGAAAGACATCATCTACTGGGCTCGGTTGGCCGAGTCCACCCACAATCACATCTTGGGGAAGTGGAGAACTGTAAAGGGGTTATAACTCAGTTTTTGCTCAGTTGCTCTTTCTTCTTTTTGTCCAGCTTGGCCTCAAGCTGTTCTTTCTCATCCTTGGTCAAAAAGCGCACGCCTGCCTCTTGAATCAAAAAGCCGCCAAAAGAGTGTACAAACGTAAAGGAAGTAAAGCTCCAATGCAGACTTCACTAAAGAAACTCCAGACACACTGCCACTTTCACCAAGAAAACACAACCGCAGGACAGATTGAGATCTGTGATTTTCCTCTTGTCTGTGTCTGATGCATTGCTGCAATCTGACACTGAAACACATCTAGTTATCACACTTAGTTGTCACACCTATAGTTATCACCTGGTTTCCCTACTATGGTCGCTTTATGTCTTTTTTTTTGGGTTATAATATGTTATATAACTGTTATAATCACCAATAACTCCAGGAACCCTCGTTGTCACCAGGAGATGTTTATCGTTGGTTTTCCAGAATTACTTCGCCAGGCATCTTGGAGCTCCTGGATGGCATCGCGTTTTGCTTGCAGCTTCTCCTCGAGCTTCTCCACGCGACCCTCTGCCTGACGTGGGCAAAAAAGCCATGGCCGCGGCCGGCATCAGAAGGATCGGCCAAGAAACGATATTAGTATATATATATATTATATTATATTATATTATATTATATTATATATATATATATCACCCATAGCCTACTATAGCCTACAACTATATCTATAACTGGGGGTTATTTTGTACGCACTGGAAGAACAGCAAAAGAAGAGCAAAACAAATCAGAAAGCCTTTTCCTAGTAGAGCTTTGGGGCAAAGCCTAATACACCAAAAAGTCGCCAAAAATCACCAAAATGTCGAGAACATGGTTGGGAGATGTCGCCAAGTTTTGATCCCGGAAATTCGAAGCACCTTCTCCTGTGCATCTCGTGCGGTTGACAGCTCGGCCACAGCTTTTCGCTGTGCTTCTCGAGCTTCCGTCATCTCACGCCTGCGCCATGTCGCAGGCTGTCCCAGGCTGTCCCCCCTTGGAGATCGTAGCCAGAATTTTGCAGGTCTGCATGTGCTTCAAAATGCCATTGGGCTTCTATAATATCTCCAATTACAGCGACAACTGCAAAATGAACTATGACTATAGCTACTATAGCACAAAGAGGTGGTGAAATGGTTGGTCAGTTCTGAGTCGGCCTCAGATCAACGTTTTTTTGCTGCTCCATCTGTACAGCGTGCTGCATGGCATCTTCGGCCCTCGCTAGCAGCGATCGGGCTTCCGAGAAGGCGGTCAGCGCATCTTCGTAGCTCGGCATCGCCGAATCCGCCACCGGACTCCGCCGGGCCGCTGGGTCTGGTGGGTCTGGTGGGGGGGGAATGTTGGGGGGCCCTGGTTCGGGCTGAGCCAAAGAGATCCACCAGGACATGGGCATGACGTGGCAATAGATGAAACAAGACAAAACCTAGCAAAGTCATATTGACACCCTTCATCATCCTTCATCGCCCATCAAGCAACTTAGACTTTCGTCAGGGTGGGGGTGGCAAAATGACAGCTAAATACGAGTGTTGTCTCTTACAGCAGAATTGCAGCAGAATTGATTGCTGAGTACCATTGCAATGAAAGTGTCAGTAAGTGTCAGTGGCGCAATCAAACAGTAATAGCTTCTGCGGGTCCCACCCAATGTGCCTTGTGTCTCAGCTGTTGCATCTGCGACTTTGGCGATTTCGGTCTGGACTGATTCGAAAGGGCTTCCAGCGCCTGCGGTTGATAGTGCTCACTGATCTACATCTACCATCATCTACCATCATCTACCATCATCTACCATCATCTACCCCTAATCCCGGTTGGTCAAAATAAGGATGGTGCTGGGGCCGTCAGGCCATGCTTCAATCAATTTGATCGACGCCCCTGGGTTGAGTTGGTGAAGTCCCCACATCCCAGAGGACACTGCTGCAAAAAGCCGTGGGGGAAGACGGGAAGACGATGTCTTTTGAATCAAGTTCAAGTAATAGGCTTGAAGCTTAGGAAAGTATGATCAAAGCTGACTTCGAATGAAGATGCCTCCCATTGTCCTGGAACCCGCATATTCACAACAAGGAGGAATCAGGCCTTTGTTACAACAAAAGATTCCCTGCACGCAGAGACACCTTGATGTCCTGACACGTCCTGACTCCGACTGAAGACTTCAAAGGTGACACCTAGCCCTTGAGAAATTCCCACTGCCAAGGGAATCCAGAAAATTTACCTGGGAATTCCCAGGGATCCCAGGGATACCTGAGAAATTCCCAGGAAATTCCCAAGTTGACCTCTGGATCCCTGGACTGATTCCAATTGAAATACTCTCGGATATCGATCCTGCAAGTTGTTCATAATCTGCTGCGCACCAACCTCATCTGGTAGGTGACATCCAGGCACCTGCACGGCCCATGATCAAGACCATCAAGACCGACTCAAAGCATGAGGTAGCTCGACACCATTCGAAACCTCCATATATATATATATATATATGGCGTTGAGCATCTTTGCATGAAGTGAATACATTGAATACATATCAATGAATACGATTCCCAGGATTCACGGTTGGATTCCAATACTTCAGTTGCCATTTGACGCAACAATCTCCGCCTTCACAATGACATGGACTTTCTGATTGGCGTACGAGTTCAGATTCACTCCAGAATAGAAGCGCACCTTTAGCCTGGCCAAGGAGAGGCCACTCTCTGAGTGAAGTTGCGGACCCCCGATGGGGAACCATTGGGGAAGCCCATCAAATATCATCGAACGGTGGACCCTCTTCCCTACTTGGCCTGAAGGGTTTTCGCATCTTTCTCATCAACGAACCAAAGTCTTTGGAGGAGATCTTTGTCCTCCGGGAGTGACCGCGAGTGGTTCAAGGGAACTGTCGATTTTCATTTCAACAGGAAGTCTTGAGGAATTTGACTATTGAGACTATTGATGACTCACTGATGACTCATTTTTCGTTGTTTTTTCAGATATTGCCACTGTCAGGCTGTCAGGTGTTTCAGCACGCCCATTTGTGCCCCATGGGATGTCCCGAATCGAATTGCCATCGTAGCTGTGTGAGTTGAGGCAGGTTTCACCGCACCTACGGTGGCAGATGGGAACAAAGTGTGGGGGAGAAAAGACTGGCAGAGCTGAGTTGCAAAACGGAAAAAAGAAGAGGATCCAAATACATCAGAAATCGCAAGAAAATTTTTTCCAAATTCAGCACTTTGTCATGTTCAACGTGGATTTGCACATGCAGGTTTAAGGAATTTCAGTAATTATGATGCTGCCAATTGGGTGGCAATTTGCCAGCTATTTCCCACTATGATCCAATATGGGTACAAGGTGGCCCAGGTTAATCCAGTGGCTTAATAACCAAGTAGATACAGACATAGACTATAGACATATCATCGTATTGTAACATGGTATATCTACCTGTGACCACAAATACTATAGGTTATCTACTCTCGGTGGAAGCTGCACACCTTTGATCATCTGAAGGGCCACATCTGGATAGGTCGCATCGCTAGCGCCTGGCAACGGTGAAGAGGAACGCTGAAGCCGTGGATTCGCCAGTCTACATCTAGATCCAGTGTATGTGAATGTATGTATATATATATGTGTGTGTGTGCGTATGCACAACATATCATCCAACTTAGTAATTCAACATTTTCATACATAAATATATATATATACATAAATATATATATATATATATACATAAATAAATATATATATTTTTATTTATTTATTTATACATATATACATATATATATATATATATACAAATACATATCCATATATATATATATACATGCCATAAATATGTAATTTATGTAGTTTATTATATATATATATTTATATATATCAAGACAATTACTTGGATTTGCGGAAGGGGTCGAAAAACACACACTTGCTCAGAATAATCTTTGCGAATTCTGATGTGGAATGCATCTTACGTGCAAAAACAATCCAATTCAACCTGACAGGAATGGGTCCGTGACAAGACCCGAGAAATAATCAAGAAGTTTCCATTCCCAAAGTCACTGCTAGATGCAAGAACTAAGCTAAATCGTTACCTCCTTGACAGATTGCGAAAACTGTGCCAAACGAGAAATTGAAAACAGGTTGTTTGGAAACGGCATGGTGGTTCTTGGGTTAGCCACGTCCCATTGCAGAAAATTGACATGAAAAATGAAGCAGGTACGTCGATGAGCGTCGCCATCGATATCACAGGCAACTGATGAGTGTCTTTGTTAGTGCCGGTCTCACCAGTGCCCCCGGCACCCCCTGCCTTTGAGAATTAGAAAAAGCAAATTTAGCTCTTCAGATGGTTCACACACACGCCCTGCTGCCGCAGGGCCTTTTTGGAAGACGCACCAATCTCGTGAAACAAAGCTCTGATATGGTCGACTGGTCACGGATAGAGTATCAAAATGCCAGAGACAAAATGAATTACCGAGAGTTGAGTACATCAAAGAATCAGAAGCCAAGGGCGAGAATGGCCAGGATCTAGTCCGAAATGTCGGAGATGTCCTCGAGGTTGCCCGCTTGAACATGTTGGGCCAGAGTGCTTGCCGTGATGGCAAGATGGCTTGAGAGATGGGATAGGTCTGATGCTGACCATACCTGAATGGGATTGGCGTTTAATTTGGATCCGCTGGGGCAGTTTCAATCTTCTCAAGGATCGGAGCATTGAATTCACGATCCGCAATCAACGTTGCAAAGGACAGTAGCCAGTTGGAACAGATAGTTGGCCTGTTTCAACTGCCACTGAGGTATCGTCTGCCAGGTCTGAGATTTCTGCATCTTCACCACCTAAGGCAGCATTGTCGTATTGATGGTCTTGAGGATGCCAGGCAGACTGATCCTCTTGCGGATACCAGGTTGATCCTCATAGACCTGGTCAATGTTGTAAAACCGGCGCCAGTAATTCGATAAGCGGGTGGCTTCAGCCCAGCTATCTACATAGCCGCCTCCCCGTGGTCGTACATGACCAATCAATTGAAGAAAAATTCCGGTTGACGATTGCATTCCGTTCCCTGATTGTCAACCTCCGTGATCATCAATCTTCGCACTGGAGTGCCGGATTGGTATGTAGTGACTTCTTTGAATATATGTGTACTTCGGTGATGTTGAGACATCTCGGATTGAAGCGGGTATGCTTCTTGGTGGTGCCAGTTTTGACTGGCAGTTGGCATTGAAATGGCTGGTGCCGATGACAAATAGCCAAATGGAGGGGGTAAGTGGTAGCCTGGTGCCGATGTTCCTGGTAGACGAAGTCCTTCTCGTGTAGAGGAATCAGCAGTTGACGAGGACGCGGCTTCGGAGGCAGGACGATGGCGAAAAGGATTCATGGGCTGTGACCAAGAGTCAAAACGGAGGTTCCGTGGGGAAACTAAATCAGCAGAGGAGGAGTCCCTCTTTGTCATATTGCAGTCTGGAGCCAAACATATACGAAATAGAGGAAAGTATCAGAGATAATTTTTACGGAGAAGTCAAAAAGGCCAACGATGTCAAGGTGACTGACAATTCACGAATGAGATTGATGCCGCACAAATGTTTTAATCCTGAGAGCGATCACGGTAGCATGTTTGGATTTGGTAGAGCCTTATGGCAGCTGAGACGCATGATATATGGCATATGGTTGACCCGGATTAGTGAAGTCAACTAATCGATTGAAGATACCTACTTCTTGGGCCTCAGTCCAGTGTGGGCGATGTTCACGTAGAAGGCGGATGATGATTTGTTGAGGGCGAAGAGCAAAAGTATCGCCAGTGCAATCACTCCATCGAAGATCTATGGAGGTTGGTTCAAGATATGTTCCCCAAGTGTTGTTGATATGCTGGCTGGCTGATGTAGAAGAGAATATTCTCGATTGACGTGATTTGGATTTGACCAGGGGTCAGTAAGAAGCTGTAAGTGAACAGTGCCATTTCTTCACTCTGAGAGAGGTTGGGAAGGTGTTCACAGGTGGTTGCTTGCATCACGCCGCTGAAGCGTTCAGTCATCAGGTTTCGAATTGGGTCAAGATCTATGATGATCAATACCCGTCGTGTCCATCGTAGTGCCGGAGTATAGTTCCAGGGCCTCTGATGTGCTGGGTCATGAGGTCGCTCTGGATGTGGGTGACCCCACATAGGAGGATCATCACGAGAACGGGAACGATCCGGAGTCATGGAGATGTAGCTAAGCTGTTGAGCCATGCTGAAACAATAAAACAAATAAAGAAGTGAAAACACACAGCAAACAATGAAAGATGACCATGGTCAACAACAGTGAGACGGTAAAGCAATAGCCATCTTTAATGCCTGGGCGTTTAGTCCTCTGCCTCCGGTTCATGACGAACCGCATGTTCAGGCATCTGTTTTAGAAGGCCCCAGCGGATTCGACAAACCTCTGGATCACGACGAAGTCTAAAACCAATCGTCTTCCACGACGGGCGGGATTTGGTGTCATACTTCATGTTGCAGACTTCTTGATCTTCAGCATCTGTCCAGGGTCGGATATTAGCAGGAGGGATGTCCGACGTGATGGAGGGAATCTTGAATATGATGGCTTTGGAGCTTGATTTTGCCGCAATCGAAGGAGGGTTTGGTACTGGATTTGGAGGTTGAGGAGGGTGGTTGACTGGTGCAGCAGAATGTGTTCGTTATTGGTGTTGCCGTAGCAGGACCTGAGTTGGACGGAGAGCGGTCCCTTTCATTGATCTCTTCAGAATTATCAGAAGTGAACCCGCCTGGTGGAATGTCACGGATGACCGGCAAAGAAGGTGGAGGTCCTGAGGATTCAGTTGTAGTGACAGTTGATCGTTGTTTTTTCTTTGGACGACAGTCCCCTGCAGTGGTTGATTTTGACTTCGGATGTGAAGTATCGCCATCAGGGTCGCGAGTAGTGGTGTGAGAACAGGTCTCTGAGGCAGGTGTACGTGTGCTGGACGAAGAAGTATGTCCTGCCTGCGGTGGATAGGTGCCTGGGTGGTGGTCTGGTAATGGGTTGACCTCTCGACGGATAGAGAGGGGACGTAGATTGGGTTCCGGATTCAGGACCATATGTGACGGCATGCCTCCATGAGAGACAAGGGGCACGAAGGTATGAAGGTGCCGAGCGTGTGGAGGTGCCCGGTTGGTACGTCCATAGAGATCCTGAGGATGATCGTCCCAGTCAACTGATGGTTCAAAGAAACGAAGGAAGCCAGCGATGTAATTCATATGCATAAGAGCCCGAGCCAAATGGTAGTGGATTTCACGGCCATGGGAGTGTTCCAAGGTGTGTTGTTCCACTGGAAATTGATTTGAAACGCAAGTGCATTGGGGTCCGAGTTTGAGCCAAACTGACGTCAAAATAAGTGGTGAAAAACAAGAAGTAACAAGTAAAACAACAAAAGGGAAAACCACAAAAAGTGAAAAACCAACGAGACAAGGAAGCCCTATTTTCATGCGGCTGAAAGTTCAGATGCTGAGTCAAAATCTGAGTTGAAATCATTTGGAGTTCCTCATTGGGAAACCCCGCCAAGGTATAGAGATGAATTAGTTGATCAAGACCTTGTTGGACACGAAATTCAGGAAAAGCACCCTTGACCACAATATGGTAGCGAGATCTAAAACCGCTCAGAAGAACTTTCGGTGGTGAGGCTGAGTATGGTGACAGGACTTGGGAAATATTGGTTGGACCTGTGTAGATGAGTTCCAAAGGTTGGGTTTCAAGCATGAAACCGAGAAATTCTTGGTCTGGCTAAGTTTCGAGGATGATGGGTTTTCCATGCATAGAAGCCTTCGTCGAGAAGGACTTCGTATGGGGGAAGTTGCTTGAGACGAGAGTCTCCAAAAATGAGGCAATTGTCGACGTATCGAATATGTTTGATAAATAGGTGATGATTGGAAAGGATTTGTTTGAAGTTGATGGACCATATCTGTTCACTGATGGAGACAACCATAAGGCACAGGGCTGGGGATAAGGGACTTCCCATGGGGGCTGCCTCGGCATTGGCGGATGCAGCCCTGACCCAAGGCGAACGTTTGCATGCTGAGTGCCGTGGTAAGTAATCCGGGGACATCCTTGATGGTAATCTTTCGAGTGACGTTGAGTCGACGAAATGTGCGACCCTTGATGGTGTCACCCGGATTGTTGGATTTCCAGGGTAGACTGACAAGACCTCATGGTCGGAGACGTCCATTTTGGGCCGGAGGAATTCTAAGAGCATGAACCAGGCTCCGATAAAGCGCTCTTGGTCAATGCTGGTGAAGAATCCAGCTAGATCTTGATTGACCAAGATCAAATTGGCGTCAACTGGTGCAGATCGAAGGATCTCAAAAGTGTGTAGACATCACCAGAAGCGAAGGTCTGGACAAGCCACTGGGATGAGTTGAAAGATCATTCTGGCCAAGATGTTGAGCATAGGCCGAAAGGGAGAATCAACAAAGGATATGATGGGTCGACCACTTTGGAACGCCTTCTTTCGTTTGGCCAGAGTGTACCCTGCTGGGAGTTGTCGTCCAGGGCCAACTGCCCATCGGTATGCTTTGCTGTGTTG